AGCCCTCGCCGCGTTTTCCCAAATCACCAGGACAGGCGAAAGGCCCAGCTGCCACGAAATGGCTTCAGCTGCCCTTTGGGTAACTTAAAAAATAATCATTACCTGAGACAGCTTCCACGCACTGGCTGAGTGTCTGCTGGGGCTGAGCCGGGCCAGGCACGCAGTCCAGCTCTCCCTCGCGGATGGCAGTGACCCATCAGTTGAGCCATCATTTTGCCGCCAAGGTTTTCATTGGCGAGGAAAGGTGGAGTCGAGTGGAGCCAGGTATCAAACCCAAGCACTCCGATGCCACAGTTGCAGTGTTTTGTTTTTTTCCCTTAAGATTGATTTATTGAGGCCAACGCTGGCGTTATCAGTGAGGCCGCCACCTGCAGGGCCAGCTTCCCATATAGGTGCCAGTCCAGTCCCAGCTGCTCCACTTTTTTTTTTTTCTTTAGAAGATTTATTAATTTTATTTGAAAAGGAGAAGTCTTCGCTGGTTCACTCCCCAGATGGCTGCAATGGCTGGAGCTGCACTGACCCAAAGCCAGGAGCCAGGAGCTTCTTCCGTGTCTCCCACGCATGTGCAAGGGCCCAAGGATTTGGGCCACCTTCCACTGCTTTGCCAGGCCATCAGCAGAGAGCTGGATCGGTAGATGAGCAGCCAGGACACCCGTATGGAATGCTGGCACCGCAGGCCGAGGCTTAGCCTACCATGCTATGGCACTGACCCCAGAAAGCTTAACGTCTTAATGGTTGACTTACGGTGGAGACGATCTAATTATAGTATCTTAGAGGTGGGGCCCCTAGAAGGTCTGTGGGTCACTGATGGTGGCTCTCCTGAGAGGTTTGGATTGAATTCAAGTTCTGGCTAACTGTGCCTTCCCTGCTCCTGCCCCATAATGTGATTGTGCCTCTGTACGTCATTAACCAGCATCCACCAGATGGTGGACCGTGAGGCCACCAGATCCTGTAACCTCAAACTGAGCTAATGTAAACAATTTCTTAACAAAGAAGCTCCTCGCAGGCATTTTAGTTAAAGTAACAAAAAGCAGATGACAACTACTACTTATCTTCATAGAGTAACAAAATTAAGGCCAACTGTCAAGTTGTGACACAAACCAGGGCATTTCTTTCCCAGGAGCCCCACCCACACCAGCAGAGGCGGGGAGGCTGCCGACCTTAGAAGAGTTACAGAAACCGTAACAGGCCGATAAAGCCCATGCTGGTATTTATAGGACTAACCTGTTTCAGTAATACTGGAAAGATCTCATAAACACAGCAGTTGAGTCTCCATTTTGCAAATGCTTTATAAACATAAGGGAAGAAACACTTAGACCACACAATCTATTAATCTCTTATTCTTCCCAAAGATAATTGTAAGATAGGAAATGGAAGCCCCAAAGATAAGCCAAAGAAGCACTGCTGGCCCATAGCGCAGGAAGACCCAAAAGCCGGGTCTTGACAGCGCTGCCTGGACACTTAACACAGCATGTTGATCTGGAACGTTCAGCCCAGACTCCAGGAAGCTTTCTCTTTTCGTGAGGCTCTGGAATCACTCCCGGGGGCTGATTCCCCTAGCCCCTGCTAACTGCACTCTTCAAGCACCCACCATGGAAAAGGACTTCACAGGTGGGAAAAAATTTTAAATGTTGCCACCCAGGCCGGTGCTGCGGCTCAATAGGCTAATCCTCCGCCTGCGGTGCTGGCACCCCCGGTTCTAGTCCCGGTTGCTCCTCTTCCAGTCCAGCTCTCTGCTGTGGCCCGGGAGTGCAGTGGAGGATGGCCCAAGTGCTTGGGCCCTGCACCCGCATGGGAGACCAGAAGACGCACCTGGCTCCTGGCTTTGGATCAGCGCGGTGTGCCAGCTGCAGTGCACCCGCTACAGCGGCCATTGGGGGTTAACCAATGGAAAAAGGAAGACCTTTCTCTCTGTCTCTCTCTCTCTCTCACTGTCCACTCTGCCTGTCAAAAAAAAAAAAAAAAAGTTGCCACCCAGAACCAAGAGTAGGTGGCAGGAGAGTACCTGGTTTTTCTTTAGGGAGAAACCTGAGCTCTATGGGCCTCAGTTAATCTGTTATACCTTTAAGTGACTCATCAAATCATTGGGCTGGCTTTACAGTAACAAAGGAAAAAGCAACTAAACGGCCAGAACACTGAAGAGATCTCAAAAAGAAGACACCAGACACAATGTTTCAAAATGTGGGTACCATTTACTTAAGCAACAATCCCAGATTGTGAAGTACAACACACATTGTAAGGATGAGACGTCCGTTTCATGGTCAAGCACCAGCATCATGCACACAGCATCGAGCTATTTAGCAAGAACAATGCCCCCGTGGGATCCACTCCTGGGTGGATGAAGACCTGCTTGTGCGCTCCCTTCACCACTTTCCCTTCTGGTCAGTTTGATTGTACAACCGAAGCCTTCTGCTGCCAGCGGCAGCAGGCTTGGCCATTAGCCAGCCAGTCCAGCTAGTATCTGGCTTCCTTCTGAAGGTTTAAAAAAAAAAAAAAAAAAAAAGGTAGTTTCTTTGCTTTGCTTTGCAGGCAGCAAGGCATGAGGTGCGGGCCTGTCTTGTTCCACATGGCACAGTGAGATGTTCCTGGCCAAGGGCCCTGGCGGGGTGGAGATGCCAAGAAGGCTCCGCGGCAAGGCAGCCTTGCGAGAGGGGCATGACAGGAACGGCGGGTGCCAAGGCTTGTCAACCCCAGTAAAGTGTGTCCAAAATCTTGGTACAAAAGACCCTCTACCACATTAGGAACCAAAGTATTTGCTCTTAAAAACACAGCACTAAGCGTCACAAAGCTTTCCCTCCAATCTACTACTAGAAAACACTCATGCCACAGCCCAGAGACCCCGAGGAGTCAGGACAGAGAGAGGGAGGGACGGAGGGAGAGGGAGAGAGAGAAAAAACAGAGACCTTTCCTCAAGGAAAAAAAAGAAGAAAAAAAAGACAGCAGTACATAAAGTGCTTCTTTTTTAATGAAACAAATCCAAAAGATGTACAGTCAGGCTCAAGTTGTGCAGTTCACAAGCATGGAGAAAACAAACAAAACGACAGAGTTGAGACAGGTGGAGTTAACCCAAGACGAGGCTGGACTTGCCACCAGGAGGGTTTCTCCTGGACGGGGCCGGGGCCGGGGCCACGGGGCTGGGCACAGGCGCAGCAGGCACAGGCTTCTCTTCACTCTGCCCCAGGCTGGCTTGCAAGTCTGTGTCCACATTTTCTAGAAAAACAAGAACGGAAATAACACTAATAACTCTTTCTGGCTAAGATTATGAGTCAGTTTTTTGTTTTGAGGATAGTTTGAAACAGACCTAAAAGTATAAAGAAACAGCCACCATCAACGCTGCCACTACTACTCGGAGATAACTGCTGTTTGGGTTTTGTCCCCCTTGTTCTATGTACACTCTTCCCAAAGTTACACAAATGAATGAAGACAAATATTTTAATCAGAACTCACAGGGAAGTGCTAGTCTGTGACTCCGTCCCTACCCAGGACCTGCCTTTCCTGTCCTCAGAAGCTCTGCTAAGAATGGTGTGTGGCTTTCTGGTCTCTTTCTGCTGTACGTCTATGTGTAGTCACAGACAACATTCAGTACCGTACTGGGTGCACTTAACATAAATGGAATCAACTTTGTCACTCAGGGGCCAGTGTTGTGGTACTGTGGGTTAAGCCACCGCTTGCGTCCCCAGCATCCCATACAGGCACAAGTTTGAGTCTCAGCTGCTCCACTTCGATCGAGCTCCCTGCTAATGCACCTGGGAAAGCAGTGGAGGATGGCCCAAATCCTTGGGCCCCTGCACCCACATGGGAGACCTGAAAGAAGCTCCTGGCTCCTGGCTTTGGATCAGCGCAGCTCCAGCCGTTGCGGCCAATTGGGGAGTGAACCAGTGGATAGTAGACCTCCCTTTCTCACTCTCTGCCTTTCCTTCTCTCTCTCTGTGTAACTCTGACTTTTAAATAAATAAATATTTTTTAAAAAAAGTTCAATTTATTGCAGATACAAAACAAACAAAATTCCACATTCAAAAAAATACAAGGTGAAGAAAATACAGACCATGACTTCAGCCTGAGACAACTTATCTGTGAGATTGTTTCATTTCTGCTGGTGGGATGAGGCCTCACACTATGTAAGACCCAACTGAATTTGAATTCTTCATTGTCTGGGTCAAACACTTTAACAACTATTCTCAAAGATACAATTACCTTGCAGCTCTACCACTGTATATTATTTTTATAACAGGATCTTCAAATGAATCAAGCTCATTCCCACCAATCTTCTATTGGTCTTTACATTACTATGTTAAAGATTTACTTATTTGGAAGGCAGAATTGCTGAGAGGGAGAGAGATCTCCCACCCACTGGTTCAGTCCCCAAATGGCCTTGGCTGCTTTCCCAGCACATCAGCAGGAAGCTGGATCTGAAGTGGAGCAGCTGGGACTTGAACTGATGCTCATATGGGATCACGGATCACAGGTAGCGGCCTAACCCACCATGCCGCAAAGCTGGCACCTTATTTTTCACAAATAGACAACAATATACCAAAAAAGGAAAGAAGGGGAAAAACAAAACACTCCATGAGACTAAACAAGCAGTGGCAGGCCATAATTTCTATGTTGCTCAGGTCAGAAATGCTCAGGCCAAAAGAGGCAGTCTGGTTTGTAACCAGCAAGCAATGAGGCAAGTCCTGGAACTGACGGAGCATTTGCAAACTTCCAGACTACCTAAACATGTATCTTAAGCCTCACATATCTTTCCTCTATACACATCAATAGGATAGCTGAGTAACACCTGATTATGAACAGAAAAAAAAAAAAAAAAAAAACAATTCATTGTAAGGATCAAAGAATCAGAATCAGAAGAAATGCAGTCTGACTTGCCTGAAGGCCGGGATGCACCTCTGCCCAAACTGTGGGCCTTCTAGAACCCTTCTTAAAGGGTCCCCTAAGTATTCCCTGTAGCCATTCCTGTGTTTGGTTACCCAAAGGGGCAAGGCCATTTCCCTTACATCCAAACAGAATCTATCTTAGGTTTTACTGACCAGAGTATCCTGCCTTGAAATAAGCTTCATAATGAATTGAGGGTGACTTTCACCTGGCAGACACGTCTTGCGGCAGTGTGCCCCTCTGTGATTTTATGACAAGTAAACAAAGTTGTAGCAGTCATAAACAGAATAAGCAGGTGCAAAAACTGATGACTATTTAAAAAAGCAAGGAAGGACTTGTCATCGTTTACCATTCAATGTGCCATTTACCTGAAGAAATGATAACAAACTGAGCTGGTAGGAGGAAGAAATTAATGAATCAGTAGGCCTAATGACACCTGTCTAGAATGTCATTGGGGCTCTGCCACATGTCTCCAGCTACTCCAAATTTCTAATAACCATTGGCCAAAATTACTGAATAAAAATTACCTGATTCTTGCTGACTGTGGCAGTAGTCAGATATGAAAAGCAGCAGAATGGAAAAGCATAGGAAATTTTACTTCCAGAACAGTCTTGGCAAATGGCACAGACTGAACCCAACAGTAATAACAGATCTTCAGTCCCAAGTGACTGATCCTGGAATCAACCCAGATGCCCGTCAGCTGAAGAATGGATAAAGAAATTATGGGATATGCACACCATGGAATACTACACAGCAGTAAAAAAAAAAAAAAAGAAAAAAAGAAAAAAGACTGGATCTGTCTAAGGAAGCCCCCAGGCAATGCTCACAAAGGCTCAGCAGCTGCTTCTTGGCTCAGAGGGCCAAGAGGAAATTGGTTCTTGAGCATTTCTGTCTGCTGGTGAACACAGCACCACCAAATGTACCAGCGGGAAAAGGCTGTAGGGACACAACTTCTTCCTTGTGGCCCAGCAGCTTAGCCATTTCTGCTCCTCGTCTCTCGCAAACTGTATTACACTCATCAGCAAAGCCCTGGCACTGGGTAAGGACTGGCCAATAAATGCTTCAAAGATCTAAAATAATTGAGTCAATGATTACCGCTTATCTCCACCTTTAATTGGCAATGTAGCTAACTGAAAATTTACATCTGCCCCCTAAATCATCATTTAGAAAATCACTGCCTGGTAACCAGTGTCTTGCTGAGTAAGCTCCTCGGTGTAAAATCAAATGAACTTCGTAAATTGAATGCTGTAAGCGGAGCTTGAAATGCCAGAGCCGCTTATTTAAAAGTTCTCATTAAGGGTAGCAGATACCGACTTGATTAATGTATGTATATTCTTCAAGGGGTCTCCAGCACTCATCTCATGGCTGGCAGATTAAAAAGGTGGCTACAGTTGCTTGCTTTATAGTTTCATTTGTTTCTTCCTCTCACCCAAGTGTATTGCACTGGGGATTGGCCAGGTTTCACTCCCCAGTCTCTTTCCCCAAGACAGAATCTGAATCACAGTTCAGACCAGTTCTAACTCCATTTATAGAACCAAACACCAAGTCTTCAAACTACTCACCATGAATATCCCCTTCTCCCTGGAAAAGAAGAAAATTCAAGCAGTTACTTCCCATTTTAATTTTGCAATACACAAATAAAACAGTCACAGTTCAAAGCAGCTAACATCTATTCAAAACCAAATGAGAGGGGCCAGTGCTGTGGCATAGCAGGTAAAGCTGCTGCCTGCAGTGCTGGCATCTCATATAGGCACTGGTTCAAGTCCCAGCAGCTCCGCTTCCAATCCAGCTCTCTGCTACGGCCTGGGAAAGCAGTAGAGAATGGCCCAAGTCCTTGGGCCCCTGCACCTGCATGGGAGCCCGGAAGAAGCTCCTGGCTCCTGGCTTCAGATCGGCACAGGTCTGGCTGTTGCAGCCATCTGGGGAGTGAACCAGCAGATGGATGAAAGACCTCTATGTCTCTCTGTAACTCTGCTGTCGAATAAATAAATCTTAAAAAAAAAAAAAAAAAAGTGAAATTTCATTTTGGTGCAGTCAAGCACAGGGTTAGGCTGGAACAATGCTAGACAAGAATCTGCACAATAAATGGACTATAACACCTAACACACATTTCCTGATGACCTCACACAATGAGCATTTCAGTTTCTTTTGTCAGAAGAGGAAACGAGGGTGAACCAATGGAAAAAAGGAAGACCTTTCTCTCTGTCTCTCTCTCTCACTGTCCACTCTGCCTGTCCAAAAAACAAATTAGAGACAGACAGAGGGAAGAGGACACTGGCAGATGCATCTGTTTCCTTTTTTTCTATCCTTATCCCCTGTTGAAGGGTGTCTGTCAATTCCAAAACCCGTTTGGTATCTCTCTTAGACACCTGATGCCTTGGTGAGCTCCAAGGCCCCCTGCCAGGCAGAACTTTCCAGACACCCTGGGCTTGGAGCAGACACAATGGACAGTAACGCCAGTGTGAATCTCCTGGAATTGAACCCAAAACCACATCTGCAAACAGCTACAATGGTCCTTGAACTGAGAAATGCTACTTTATGTGGGAAACACAGGAAGCTTCAAATTCAGTGCTGAAGGAGCTCAAACTAATCCTGATGGTCAGAGACGTCTGAACAGAGTGCTTTTCACTCCCTTTCCTGGCTGTACTCTTTTTATCAACCTTTCACCACCCATATGGCCCAGTCCCTTCCTGATTGCCACCATGGAAAGTTCCAGGGGAGAACTGAAACCTTTGGTCAGAAAGGGGGAAGTTTAATTTCTAAACCTCATTGCGCTGGTCACACTGACCTTCAGATCGAAGGAGTCCCCCGAGCTGGCTTCCGAGGAGCTCCTTCTCTGCAGCCCTGATGGCTCCGGATCTTCCCTGCCGCCACCAGACTTGGCACCTGAAACTCAAAACACTGCCTCATCAGGGATACAACACAAAATCCTAAAGCCACGCCCCTTTCTTTAAAATTTGATTTTTCAAAATTGATTTATTTACTTGAAAGGCAGAGGGACAGAGAGATCTTTGATCTGCTGGTTCACTCCCCAAAATGCTCACAACAGCCAGGACAGGGCCAGGTTAAAGTCAGGAGCCTGGAACTCTGCCTGGGTCTCTCACATGGGTGCAGGGACCCCAGCACGCAGGCCATCTTCTACTGCCTCCCAGGCCATAGCAGGGAGCTGGACTGTGAGTAGAGACGCCACACACTTGCCCCCAGAGTGTCCTATTTCCTCCCTCTCACATTAGCCTGGAATCATTTATTTTCTTACCGCTAAGCTACATTTCACTTGTCACTGCAAACCCAGCTGTGGCTGGTTCAGTGGGCACAGTGACCACAGATAAAAGCAATACCTGCAGGGGCTGGCACTGTGGCGCAGCGAGTAAAGCCACCACATGCAGTGCCAGCATCCTATATGGAAGCCGGTTCCATCCTCTATGGAAGCTGCTCCACTTCTGATCCAGCTCTCTGCTGTGGCCTGGAAGAGCAGTAGAAGACGGCCCAAGTCCTTGGCCCCTGCACCAGTGTGGGAGACCTGCAAGAAGCTCCTGGCTCCTGGCTTTGGACTGGCACAGCTCCAGCCATTGCGGCCAATTGGGAGTGAACCAGAGGATGGAAGACCTCTCTCTCTCCCCACATCTCCTCTCGCTGTGTAACTCTGACTTTCAAATAAATAAATAAATCTTTCAAAAAAAAAAAAAATAGTACCTGCAGACTTGGCCCAGGAAGGGGGGTTTTCTTCAGGTGTCCCAAAGATGCTGGAGGCCATTTTGTTCTTCCTCACAGGTTGTTCTGTTGGTTCATCAAAGCCTAATGAAAAGTTGGAACCACCACCTGGAGGCCGTAAAACCCTAGAAATAATGGCAGAACATCAATTTCAGATCATTATCAAGACCTTTCTTAGTATAAATGTTTTTACAAACCTTTCATCTCCTCTCCCACACCTACTCATCCCCTACCCCAAACAAAAGAGAGCTGATTCCCAAAGGAATTGATTCCATCATGGTGTAAACCAAACGTGGGATGTTCAGACAGCAAGTACTTCTTCACATCATCTGCGGTAAGGTCACCCATCACCCCAGGCAGGTGGAGTAGCCTTGGAACCCATCACAGACAGCGAGGTGGGTGTCCCCTTCGCAGAAAGGGCAGAGACTCCAAGTCTTCACCCTACAGGACTTAGCTGAATATATTCGCAAAGAGACTTAGAAACACATCTTGTTCTTTATTCATTTAGAAAGCATTTCTGACTACATAAAAAATAAAAGGATATACACATTAAAACTAACTCCACTGGTGCTGGTGCTGTGGCGTAGCGAGTAAAGCCGCAGCCTGCAGTGCCAGCATCCCATATGGACACCGGTTCGAGTCTCAGCTGCTCCACTTCCCATCCAGCTCTGTGCTGTGGCCTGGAAAAGCAGTAGCAGATGGCTCAAGTCCTTGGCCCCTGTACCAGCATGGGAGACCTGCAAGAAGCTCCTGGCTCCTGGCTTCGGATTGGCGCAGCTGCAGCCATTGCGGCCAACTGGGGAGTGAACCAGAGGATGGAAGACCTCTCTCTCTCTGCCTCTCCTTCTCTGTGTAACTCTGACTTTCAAATAAATCTTAAAAAAAAAAAAAAAAAAAAAAAAAAAAAAAAACAAAAAAAAACAAAACCTTAAGAAAAAAACTGACTCAACCAATTTAGAGGCACAAGAACTGGTAACAGAATTGTCTACTACTTCCACATCAGCAACATGCATCTCACTGTTCTTGCTTAGACACGAGTGACTACTGGCCAAGTGTGGGATTCCACGTGTGTCTGATACTCGTGTCCCTCTGGTTACCACCCACAGCTTCTGATAAACGTGGAGACACAGAGCCTTCACACTTCTGAACCTTCACGCTGTGCGCTGCCCAGTTTGTCTCCTCCCTGGAAAAATGCAGGTTAACTCGTCTTGCCACCTCTTCAAGCAGAAAATCGTGATGGGTGTACGAGAAAACTTCACAGCTCTTTGTAAATTTCCCTATTGGTGACAGCAGTGGATCTGTTTTACTTCTCCTTAAATGAAGTTGAATAAGAAACATTTTTCTATGAAAATGTCATTTCTTCCAAGTTTCCAAATAAATGTTATTTGTAAGTTTTCATTAAATCTGAAAGCTTTAAAATTAAACACTTAAGGTATAAACTCTCTTCTAAGTATCCCTTTAGAGGCATTCTCTAGTTTTGATATGCACCATATTTACTATTGTTTCATTCTTTCCTTTTAAATGCTTTCTAACTTTTACTGTGATTTTTATTTCACTTGAGAAGCAAAGCCAGAGACAGCACTCCCATCTGCTGGTTCACTTCCCAGATGTGCCCGACAGTCTGATGTGGGCCAGGTAGAGGATTCAGGAACTCCATCCAGGTCTCCCATGTGGGTGACAGAGGCCAAGCACTGTGCCCTCATCCGCTGCCTCTCAGGGTGTGCTAACAGGAATCTGGACTGGAGAAGGCAGGACTTGATCCCAAGCAGCAGTTTAACCCTTGTCCCTATTGTTTCAGTCTAATTTTTTCTCATTTCCATTATCTTCTTTTATCCATAGGTTATTTAAAATAAAGTGTACTTTTATTTTGCCAAACATGGAAGTCTTACTAATTTACTGATTGCTAGCTCTGAATTATAACAAGGGGGTGGGTATTTGGCCCATGGTTTAAACACCACTTTGAGATACCTGCATTCTCTAAGTGTAGGCCTAAGTTTCAGCTTCCCTTCTGATTCCAGCTCCCTGCTAGTGCAACCCTGGGAAGCAGCAGGTGATGGCTGGCACAGTTGGATCCCTGCCAGACACATGAGACCCAGCTCCAGGCTTCTGTCTGGTCCAGCCTCAACTGTTGCAGGCATTTGGGGAGTGGACCAGTGGATGAGAGATCTCTCTGCTTTTCAAATTAAATAAAATATTTTTAAAACCACTGGAGAAAAACATATATGAAATATGGTTCTAGTCTTAAAGAGCTTTCTAAGCACAAGATGAAACCATGAAAAACAGATTAAACTTGTCAAAAGTACATGTAAGTGGTAGATATTTAGCACAGCGGTTAAGGTATCACTGGGGATACCCACATCCCATATCACGTGCTTGGGTTCAAATCCTAGCTCCACCTCTGGTTTCAGTTTCCTGCTAAGGCATACCTAGATAGATAAGAGATGATGGCTCAAGTACTTGGGTTCCTGCTACCCATGTGGAAAACCCAAATTCAGTTCTGGAATCCCAGCTTTGGCCTGTCCCAACCCTGGCTGTTGTGGGCATTTGAGGAGTGAGCCAGTGGATGGAATATCTCTAACTCTCCAAGTAAACCCTTCAAAAATGATAATAATGAAGAAGTGGAGCAGCCAGGATTCAAGCCCACACAGATGGGGGATGCTGGTGTGGCAGGCAGCAGTTTAGCCCACTGTACACAAGCCAGCCCCTATACAAACTTTCTGAAGGACATCTTGATAACATTTATCAAATGCCCAAACTTGCATCTTATCTGAACTAGCATTTCTTCTTTCAGAAATTTACAGATAACCAGACCTATGTACAAGGATACTCCTATAGAGTAATCTGTAAAAAAGCTGGTAATTTCGTACCTGCCTAATAGTAGGGGTCAGTTGTCAGTGTTCATAAATATCAAGGTTGGCACGGTGGGGTGAGATTCCCCTTTATGAGTGGATGTGACGTTACCCAAAGCATAGGGAATGAAAAACGCTAGAAAACAAGCATGTGTGAGCCGAACTGCATGTTCTGTAAAGCTGTGCACACAGAGATGCACAGAGCAGTGGGACTGGGTCAACTGCGGACCCTCTCCAGACCTGGGTTTCTCCTCTCGGATCAGGATAACGTTGTTACAAGGATGTCATGTACACTGCGCTGGAAGCCCGCAGTCAGGACCATAACCAGACAGAAGTGTCACCACAGTGCTACCTGGGGCTCCTTCTCACAAGTGCGCTTTCAGGTGAATGTTCATGTCTTTTTCGTTTTATTTTATTTATTTGAAATGTAGAGTTAGAGAGAAGTGGGAGAGAGAGATTTTCTATCCACTGGCTCACCCCTAAAATGGCCACAGTGGACACGGCTGAGCCAGACCAAAGCCAAGAGCTTCTCTTCCAGGTCTCCCACGTGGGTGCAGGGGCCCAAGCACTTGGGCCATCTTCTGCTGCTTTCCCAGGTGCATTAGCAGGGCGCTGGATGGGAAGTGGAGCAGCCGGGACTCACACGGGTGCCCATATGGGATGCTGTGTCACAGGTGATGACTTTACCCACTATACCACAATACCTTAATATCATTTTAAAACTGATTTTTCTGTGTTGCTATTAACCTAAGATTATTTTAAATGCTTCTGGGTTCCAGAATTCCCTAACAAGGTTTCTTTTGACAATACACCTTTTCCCTGTCTGTTCCAAGGAATGTGGTCCTTTGGTCACCTGTGTCTGTGTCCCTCCTGGATTTCTAGGCAGAAAGCACAGCTACTCAGCTCCCTTGAGGGCCCTGGCCTCTGCACCTTTACACCAGCCCTCCTGTGCTCAGTGGTGAGCCCTGCCCTGTCCCATGTCCTTTGCTGGCTGGGCTCCATGGCTCAGCAGATGCAAAACTGGTGGAGCAGGTGCCAAAGGCACCAGACGGGCTTTGCCGAGCAGCAGTTTGGGCTCCCCTCCAACATACCCTGACATTTCCTACCACCTTCCCCACCAGTGCAGTCAGGTGACTCTTCACCATTTCTCACCACCTGTCAGTCTCTATTGGCCTATTTCCTCCAGTCTGGAACTTTCTCCACCCTTCCCTAGGTGTGAACCAAAGTACAGCCCCACCCTAAGCCTCCAGCTACTCCAGGAAGCAGTTAGAGCCCTCCATGACTGCCAAGGGTAACTCACAGGACAGCAGAGAACACAGGGAGCCTGGCACCCCTGTCCTCAGGAGGCACCAGCTCTTCCTGTAAGGGGCCAGACAGGAAATATTTCTGGTTGTGAATCAGGTCTTTTTTTTTTTTTTGACAGGCAGTTAGAGAGTGAGAGAAAGAGAGAGAAAGGACTTCCTTCCATTGGTTCACCCCCCAAATGGCTGCTACAGCTGGCGCTGCACCAATCCAAAACCAGGAGCCAGATGCTTCTTCCTGGTCTCCCATGCGGGTACAGGGCCCAAGCACTTGGGCCATCCTCCACTGCACTCCTGGGCCACAGCAGAGCTGGACTGGAAGAGGAGCGACCAGGACAGAACTGGCGACACAGGCGGAGGATTAACCCAGTGAGCCGCGGCGCCAGCCCTGGGTCTTCATGAACCATTCACTGTCAGATTGCACCCAGGCAGCCACAGACAACATGAAAACAAGTGTAGGGTGAGTGAGGAACAGCGGTTAGCACACTGCCGGGAGGCATGCAGCCCATTTCCATGTACCAGGACATAGTGCCTCCTGCAAATACACATCCCAGGCTGGCAGCACTGATGGCTCAAGTACTTGGGTCTCTGCCACCCACTTGGGCTCCTGGCTTCAGCCTGGCCCAGTCCTCGATATTGTGGGTGGTTGGGGAATGAGCCAACACATAGAAGATATCTTGGGGCAAGCACTGTGGCACAGCAGGTAAAGCTGCCACTGGTGACACTGGCATCCCATATGGGTATCGGTTGGAGTTCTGGCTGTTCCATTCCAATCCATCTCCCTGCTAATAGCTCAGGAAAAGCAGCAGAAATGACCCATGTTTTAGGGCCCTGCCACCTGTATGGGAAACCCAAGCAAAGCTCCTGGCTTCAGCCTGGCCCAGCCCTGGTCAGTTGTGGCCATTTGGGGAGTGAACTGTGTACCTCCGACTTCCAAATAAATAAATACTTCCTTTTAAAAAAACATAAGTTTCTGTTTCTGTGTCTCTGTCAGCCTTAAAAGTAAAACGGGGCTGGTGCTATGCCGGCGGTGGCATAGCAGGTAAAAGCCACCGCCTGCAATGCCGGCATCCCATATGGATGCTGGTTCGAGACCCAGCTGCTCCACTTCCAATCCAGCTCTCTGCTATGGCCTTAGGAAAGCAGCAGAAGATGGCCCAAGTGCTTTGGGCCCCTGCACTCATGTGGAAGACCCAGAAGATGCTCCAGGCTCCTAGCTTTGGATTGGCTCAGCTCCTGCCATTGCAGCCATTTGGGGAGTGAACCAGCGGATGGAAGACCTCTCTCTCTCTCTCTCTCTCTCTCTCTCTCTCTCCCCCTCCCTCCCTCCCTCCCTGTCTCCATCTGCCTCTCTGTAGCTCTGCCTTTTAAATAAATAAATAAATCTTTTTTAAAAAAAGGTAAAATAAAAATAAAATTTTGGCCGGCGCCGTGGCTCACTAGGCTAATCCTCCGCCTAGCGGCGCCAGCACACCGGGTTCTAGTCCCGGTCGGGGCGCCGGATTCTGTCCCGGTTGCCCCTCTTCCAGGCCAGCTCTCTGCTGTGGCCAGGGAGTGCAGTGGAGGATGGCCCAAGTGCTTGGGCCCTGCACCCCATGGGAGACCAGGAAAAGCACCTGGCTCCTGGCTCCTGCCATCGGATCAGCGCGGTGCGCCGGCCGCAGCGCGCCGGCCGCGGCGGCCATTGGAGAGTGAACCAACGGCAAAGGAAGACCTTTCTCTCTGTCTCTCTCTCTCACTGTCCACTCTGCCTGTCAAAAAAAAAAAATTTTTTTTAAATAAAATTTTTAAAAGATAAATTGAGGGGCCAGCACTGTGGTGTAGAAGGTTCAGCCACTGCTTGTGTTGCTGGCACGCAGAGTGCCAGTTCGAGTCCAGGTGCTCTGCTTCCTATCTAGCTTCCTGCTGATGCAATTGAGAAGTCAACAGAAAACGGCCTGGATACTCGGGCCCCTGCCACCCTGTGGGAGACCCAGATGGAGCTCCTGGCTCAGGACCCAGCCTGGTCCTGAGGGATTCGGGCAGTGAGCCAGCAGATGGGAGACCTCCTTCTCTCTCTCTCTGCTTTTCAGATAAATAAATCTGAAAGAAAAAAAAATTCATAGTTCCTGGATCCTACAAAAACAGGTGCTGCTGAGTGGCTGCAGGTAGTCCGTAGGTTGCTGAGTTCTGCTCTGTGTAGCTGAACAGCCTCATGTTAGAAGAGCAAAATCCATAATTATTGATAAAGACGGAAACATAGCCCCAAACCTCAGTTCCTAGCAGGCACACAACATGAGCTCCAAGTGCTCCGATGTGGGGGAACCACACAGTGCCATGTTTCTCATTTTTTAAGATTGATCGATTTGAAAGGTGGAGCTACAGAGAGAGAGACAGAGACAGAGAGATCTTCCACCCACTGGTTCACTCCCCCAAATGGCTGCAATATATAGGGCTGGGCTAAGCTAAAGCCAGGAGCCAGAACTCCGTCCGGGTCTCCCACATATGTGGCAGGCAGGGGCCCAAGCACTTTCGCCATGTTCTGCTGCTTTCCCAGGAACATTAGCAGGGGGCTGGATTAGAAGGGGAGCAGCCAGGACCTGAACCAGCACCAAAATGAGATGCTGGCATCACAAGTGGCAGCTTACCTCTCTGTACCACAATCCTAGCCCCACCCCGCCCTCTTTTTTTTAAGATGTATTTATTTATTTGAAAGGCAGAGCTACAGAGGCAGAAGCAGAGAGAGAGAGGGAGAGAGAGAGTCTTCCATCTGCTGACTCACTCCCCAAGTGGCCACAATGGCTGCAGCTGCGCCTATCTGAAGCCAGGAGCCAGGAGCCAGGAGCCACTTCTGGATCTCCCATGCGGATGCAGGGGCCCAAGGACTTGAGCCATCTTCCACTGCTTTCCCAGGACATAGCAGAGACCTGGATCAGAAGTGGAGAAGCTGGGACTCAAACCGGCACCCACATGGGATGCTGGCACTGCAGGTAGCAGCTTTACCCACTATGCCACAGCGCCAGCTCTGCCCCACCACTTTTTTAAAATCACAAACTTGTACAGTTGCTACTATGACTAAGGTTTTCTTGTCTTCTAACCTTGATCTATCTTCTATTTCCTTTTTTAAATTAAAAAAAAAAAAAATGTAAGCCAGTGCTGCGGCTCAATAGGCTAATCCTCCACCTATGCACCGGCACACTGGGTTCTAGTCCCGGTTGGGGCACCGGATTCTGTCCCGGTTGCCCCTCTTCCAGGCCAGCTCTCTGCTGTGGCCCGGGAGTGCAGTGGAGGATGGCCCAAGTGCTTGGGTCCTGCACCCCATGGGAGACGAGGAGAAGCACCTGGCTCCTGCCATCGGCTCAGCGCGGTGCACTGGCCGCAGCACGTCGGCCGCGGGGGTCATTGGAGGGTGAACCAACGGCAAAGGAAGTCCTCTCTGTCTCTCTCACTGTCCACTCTGCCTGTCAAAAAAAAAAAAAAAGTATTTATTTATTTAAGAGTGCTTTCTTCCGAGCCGGCGCCGTGGCTCAATAGGCTAATCCTCCACCTTGCGGCGCCGGCACACCGGGTTCTAGTCCCGGTTGGGGCGCCGGATTCTGTCCCGGTTGCCCCTCTTCCAGGCCAGCTCTCTGCTATGGCCAGGGAGTGCAGTGGAGGATGGCCCAGGTGCTTGGGCCCTGCACCCCATGGGAGACCAGGAAAAGCACCTGGCTCCTGGCTCCTGCCAGGATCAGCGCGGTGCGCCGGCTGCAGCGGCGGCCATTGGAGGGTGAACCAGCGGCAAAGGAAGACCTTTCTCTCTCTGTCTCTCTCCCTCACTGTCCATCCTGCCGGTCAAAAAAAAAAAAAAAAAAAAAAAAAAAAAAAAAGAGTGCTTTCTTCCACTGATTCACTCCCAGATGCCCACAGCAAGCCTGGAATTCTGGCACTGCTGCATGCTAGGGTCTGCACTAGCAAGAAACTGGAGTCAGAAGCCAGAGTCAGGAATCAAGCCAGGTGCTCTGACATGGAATGCAGGCCCTTTAACTGTGGGCTGTCTTGTCTTACATTCCTTATGTACATTTCCTCTAGCTTCCTCCACCCCGCCTTTTTTTTAGGTTTTAATTACTGGGGTTGGCATTGTGGCGTAGGGGATAAAGCCACTGCCTACAATGCGAGCATCTCACATTGGTGCCAGTTCAACACCCAGCTGCTCCACTTCTGATGCAACTCCCTGCTAATGTTCCTGGGAAGACAGCAGAAGATGGCCCAAGTGTCTGGGCTCCTGTACCCACGTGGGAGAACTAGAAGAAGCTCCTGGCTTCAGCCTGGCCCAGCCCTGGCCGTTGAGGCCATTTGGGGAGTGAACCAGTGGATGAAGGATCTCTCACTCCCCCTCATATACATATATGTATATATATGTAAAACTGTGTAACTCTTTCAAATAAATAAATCTTAAAGAGATTGATTCATTTATTTGAAAGGCAGAGCCACAGAGATATTCTCCACCCAACACAAACAGGCGTTCACATGCGATGCTAGCACTGCAGACCGCGTGGTTCAACGCACACACCATGCGCACCATAGCGTCAGCCCTGAGCTTCCTCCCCCGAATGTAATATTAGTGTCTGCCCACGGCAAAAAGCTATGTCCAATTCATCCTGAATAATTTTCATTGTTCATCTTCACTACTGTTTTTTTAAGGTCTCAGATATTGTTATATGAAATAAGATAAATGTTCTAGTATGTATTTAACAAAGATGATAATTTTAGGTTTAATTAAACCGTTTAAATCACAAAAGTTTGTTATCAATTCTTAATATGCTTTCTCTCACGTTGGAGTTTGAAGCAATTAGGTTTTAAAATTCTCCCCTAAATCAACAAAGAAGACACTGAAACACCACAATCAAAATCAACTTGCTTCATTGTCATCCCCTAGAGTAGAACGATTTTTTCTTTATTAATCCAGATTAGAATCTCATGAATTATTTTGGCCAGATAAAAATATTTAGAACCCTAGTGGGCTGAGAAATATTTTAGCCTTGGGGGGGGGGGGAATCAGAGGGAGGAGATAGTAGGACCCAGACACCAGCTTAAAAGCAAGCAAAGGTCTGCCACATTCAACTTTTTAAAGGTCTGTGTTCTTGCAATAGCAGGTGACAGCTACTCCGATGACGTCAGCGTTGGAGAGACCATTTGTAATAGTGAGAGATCCCCAAACAAAGGACTTGGATCACAAGACAGTAAGTATTTCAATTTTAATTCTGAAGATCCTATTCATCTTTCTAAACCACACACATGATAACTAAATCAGAATTACAATTTAAGACTCAACAAAAACGCATCCATGTACTTTAGATAGCGATTTTTAGAAAATTACTCCTTTTCTTTCTTCTGTCCTTAAATCCTAGAGTTCACAATATGATCGCTGCAAATCATTCCCTACCAGACAAAATTTAAAGCAAGTTTCTGGAGCCAGGACAATGTTCCTGGAGAAAAGGAGTTTAGGAGAATTAGGTGAGGTCACAGGAAGAAAGGTAGCCAGTAAGTGCCAGCGCCACAGCAGTGTGCCACCAGATGACCACGGGCGAGTCCAAACATTCAGTTTGCAGAACCAGACATCACTTCTGTGTCACATTTCAAGTACACAGAAGAGAAACTCGCCTGAGAGGTCATCTGACCTGGCAAAGCACGAACCTGAGCTCAACCCCAAAGGACAAAACCGACTCCACATCTTCCTTCTGACATCTGGAGTCCGACCGGCAAGAAGTTGACCTCCTCACCCAAAATGAAAACCAAGGCTTGATCTGTTCCCGTGCCCTCTGAAAAAAATGCCGTCCTCGGCAGGATGGCCACACGGGAGTGGCCAGTGTTCCCTGGGTCTCCACCACACAAGTTCTCCCACCCTGCCAGGAACCACTCATCGAGTGTTTTTCTTTCCCTCCAATCTTCTCATTCTTTTCCACACGGTAAAGCTCAGAGATGAGCTGATAAGGATGATCGTTTGCAGGGCCTCCTCCTAGACCCCTGTGCTGGGCCAGCTTTTTGTCCCCAAGTTCTCTAACCCCTGGGAGACACTGCTATCTCACGCCTGTCTTTGCAGCCCTACAAAATGGCTCCCTTTGTGCCACTTGGCCAGGACCCCAAGGCTGGCCGGCCAGGACTGCAGGTTGGATCAGTTTAGAACAGACGCCCAGACAAAGTGGACTCTACCCTTCCTCTGAGCCGCGAGGGTCATCCCAGGAACGCCCGTAACACCTGGAACAACAGTGTGCCATAGCCGAGACAATGTGGACACCTCCACACGACCCAGACCCTGGCACCAAGTTAAGCAAGGGCTTGGCAAACGGCCCCAGACCCGACACCGTGCCCAGTGTCCCCCCTGCAAGACGCAGTGGCTGAGTGGCAAGAAGGGGCCCTCTTCCCAGGTGGAGAGAACCGGAGGAGACAATGGACGTGTCGGGCCCCGCCCAGGAGCGGGAAGCCTCCTCCCGCGGGGGAGCCGGGGCCAGGGATGAACGCATTTGGCAAACGTCAAAGCGACAAGTGAAAAGGATGGGGTGCCGAGACCGAGGGCGGAAGGTCTGGAGGCAGAGAGCCCACTGGGGCTGGCCCGCTCCCCCTCCCGCCCGGGGGTGGGCGCAGGGAGGGGAAGAGAGGGGTCTTTTCTTTGTTAGGAGAGGGGCGGCACTTCAGAGGGGACTGACGGCTGCGTCCAGAGCGGGAGTAAAGGGTTGCGGAACCCGGCCCCGCCCGAGCACCAGTGCACCTGCCAGGCGGCCCGACCGGGGACCCAGGAGCGGGGCGCGGCGAGGGTCGAAGCCCGCAGGACCCGACCGATACGATCGCGGGATCGAAGCCCCGCGCCCCGCGCCGGAGCGAGAAGCACATGCCGGCCAGAGGCAGGAGCGCGTGGTCCGGGGGAGGGACAATGGGGCCCCAGCCCGGCGCCCGGGGAGCCGGGACCACCACCCAGGCGCCGGACCGGCCGGCTGCAGAGCGGGGGACCACGACCCTCCCCGCTCTGCCCCGTTAACGAGACCCGTTAACGCGTGCTGCGAGGGGCGGCGGGCCCCGGCCTCCCCGGCCCCACGCTCCGTGGGAAGAATGAATGGAGATCCACGGGCATCTGGGCGGGGCCGGCTCGCCGAGAGGCACAAAGGCGGCGCCCGCGGCCGAACCCCGCTGCCCGCCCGGGCGAGCGCGGCGCCCCGAGCACGCGGCCGCCAACGCCCGGCGCCCGGCCTGTGCGGCCGCCGGCCACCGCGCCCCTGGCCCCCAGCCCCGCGCGGCTCGCCGCCCCGTCGCCTCACCGGGAGCTGTTCCTGCTGTTGGGGTCGACCCCCTTGAAGGTGGTGGTGGTGGTCATGGCGCCGAAGAGCGAGGTAGGCTGGCGCGGGTGCAGAACGCTGAAAGGGTCGGACCCGAGGGGCGCAGGCACGCTCCAGACCCCACGGCCGGCTACCGCTGCGAGAGCCTCCGCCGCCGCCGGGCTGCTCGGCCACCGCTTTTATAGGGCCCCGAGGCCCCGCCCCTGCCCTCTCGGCATTGGCTGATTCAAACGGATCTCTTCATTCCTATTGGTTTTCTCGAGTGCCAAGTACCCTACGGCGCAACGACGGGCTGCAGGGACCACGGTTTAGCCTAAGCCCGCCCCCTTCCTGGACGGGGAAGGTCTGCTCTCCCTTCCCCCATCCCAAAGTCCCGGAGACGATTGGATAGACGACGAAGCTGCCCGAGCTCGGGACAAGTTGTGCTGGCTGTCACTGGAAAAGTTACCTGGACGAGGAAAAGGCTTGCTCTGGGGCGTTAGAACCGGCAGCCCGAGGGCAGATTTGTCGTTCACTACTCGCCTGCCTCTGTCGGCGGGGTATTACGGGCATTCCCCTGGAGGCACGCCCATGCCACAGCAGGCAGACATGTGTTTATTGAATACCTACTGTGTGTTCCTTTTGGAAACCTAACAGTCCCAAAGCGGTAGCAGCATGAGTCAGCAGCAGAAAGCACGCCAGGATGATTCCATATAAAACGACTGGGCATTCTTCACATTTCAGCGTTGCTATGTAGCTGTAATGGGCGGCGCACGCACTAGACCAAAATGAGCGGCGTTCCCATCTGGGGCCCCGGCGGCTGGGCCGTTCCCCTGCCATCAAGACTGTGGGCGCAGCCCCGGCTTCTGCAGCTGTTTACAACCCTTGAGTCCTGACTCCGCCACCTGTCCTGGTAATCCGTCCCTGCGCCAAATGCAGGCGCACTTGGAGGGGAAGGGCGCTTCGCAGGATAGCGATAGCGGAGACTCGGCAAACGCGAGCCGGCCGTGGGTGGCTGACCCCTTCCCGCGTCCGCATATCTCCTCACGGCAAATGTCTTTGCTTGTCACTATTTCCATAAAGACTGAGCTGCATTCCACATTGCTTGGCCTGCCTCCAAGCAGTTGGGAAGTTTGTATTCTCGGCGGTGTTGGTTAACCACCCTCCCCTGGGCTCGCCATAAAAGCCGAGAGGAGCCTCTTCCCTTCTGGGTGGCTTGAGCATGCGTTTGTGTGCCTGCCACAGCAGCATGAGGCGCGCCACTTGTTTGGGTTACAATCTTCCCATTTTTAAAGGCTGAGCCCAAATTTCCAAAACCTGAACAAAACAAAGCAAAGAAACCCTGTCAGACCGATCCAGCCAGCAAGCCTGCCCTCAGAAAGCACATAGTCACCCGCAGGGAGGCAGTGCAACATGGTGGGCGCTAGCTCAGGCGCTCACGGGAGAAATCTGGGTTTGAATCTTCTTTTTTTTTTGGACAGAGTTGGGCAGGGGGGAGGTTGGGTGTCTTCCATCTGCTGGTTCACTCCCCAAATGCCCGCAACTGCCAGAGCTGAGTCCATCCAAAGCGAGGAGCCAGGAGCCAGGAGCTTCTTCCAGGTCTCCCACGTGGGTGCAGGGGCCCAGGCACTTGGGCCACCTTCTACTGCTTTCCCAGGCCATTAGCAGGGAACTGGATCAGAAGTGGAGCAGCCGGGACCCCAACAGGCAGAGGCTTACGCCCCTACATCACAGCGCCAGCCCCCTTACTATATTCATGTGTAAAGTCAGGATAAATGAATCCCTGGACTGCACTGTCCTAGGACAGACTTTTATGATCAGACTTCCTTGGAAGGTAATCACATATTTTCTTGTGCTGTTAAATGACAGGTTTCAATTTCACTCTTAGGGAATCTTTTGTCTAAACTTTGACTTTGTACTTGACTTGCCGGATTGGCGGATCCCTTGAGTGTGGAAGACAGCTTGGTGCAGCTTGGTTCCGGTCTTGCCCCCACCCCACCCTGTAAGACACGGGAATGTCCTTTATGTCGCTGAGCTGGTTTCCTCTTTTGTAAAATGAAGTTAACGCACCTACTCTGAGTCTGAATGAGAGAAATTTAAGAATGTTGTATTTGCCAAACAGACTGCTAGAAGCGCCCCACCCTGGTTGCATATCAGAACCACCTGGGAGAGTTTAAGGAACACAATGAACTCTGGGTCCCCCCCCCCCAAGATGTGGTCATTTGTGTTTCCAGGGCTAGAGTCCAGTCATGGATATCTTTAACTAGGGGCGGGGGCACGGAGTTGGCCTGGCAGTTAAGATATCATCAGTGTGCCAGGGTTTGGACCACAGGTCTCAGTGCAGCTTTCTGCTAATGCACGCACGGGGAGGCAGCCTGAGTCTCTGCCACCCAAGTGGGAGACCTGGACTGAATTCCCGATTCCCAGCTTCCGGGAGTGAACTAACAAAGGACACTCTCTCTGCCTGTCTCTCCTTCTGCCTCTCAATCAAGTTTAAGTGTTTTAAAGATTTATTTTACTGATTTGAAAGGCAGAGTGACAGAGAGAGGGAGAGGCAGAGAGAGAGAGATCGTCCATCCATTGGGTCACTGCCCAAATGGCTGCGACAGCTCCTGAAGCCCGGAGCCAGGAACTCCATCTGGGTCTCCCAAGTGGGTGGCAGGGGCCCAGGCACTTGGGCCATCCTCTGCTGCTTCCCTGTGCACACAGCAGGGAGCTGTTCAGGAAACAGAGCACGGGGAGTTGAAGCGGGTCTCCGATATGGGGTGCCAGCTTAACTCACTGTAGCACAACTCAAGCCCCTCAACAATTTTTTGAAAAGAAAATCAAAAGTAAGTTTCATTTACAGATTGCGCTGAGAAGGTTTGCTACAAAGGTGAGGAATCGGGGCTGGCGCTGTGGTGCAGCAGGTAAAAGCCACCACCTGAAGCGCCGGCATCCTATATGGGTGCTGGTTCAAGACCCAGCTGCTCCACTTCCAATCCAGTTCTCTGCTATGGTCTGGGAAAGCAGTAGAAGGTGGCCCAAGTCCTTGGGCCCCTGCACCCACGTGGGAGACCCAGAAGAAGCTCCTGGCTCCTGGCTTCGGATCGGTGTAGCTCCGGCCGTTGTGGCCATCTGGGGAGTGAACCAGCAGATGGAAGACCTCTCTCACTGTAACTCTGTCTTTCAAATAAATAAAATAAATCTTTAAGAAGAGAGATATATTAGATAGTTTGAGGAATCAGTCCCAGCAGAAACCTTTTAATCTTATTTATGAGTAAGAGCAAACTTACATAAACATCTGACTAAGGGTGCCGACCTGGTTGGCATCTTTATCCTAACTTGAAATTGTGACAGATTGGAATACCTACCCCTCCCATTTACCTGTTCATGTACTGTAACAGTTATGACTAAAATTGCTACATTCTGGGCCAGGCTTGGCACAGCAGGTTACTTTTGCAACTCTGGCATTCCATATCAGAGCACTGATTTGAGTCCCAGCTTCTCCACTTCTAAATCGGCTCCCTGCTAGTGTGCCTGGGAAAGCAGGGGAAGATGGCCCAAGTGCTTGGGCCCCAGTCACTCATGTGGGAGACCTGGATGGAGCTCCAGACTCCTGGATTCAACCTGGCCCAGTCCTGGACTTTGTGGCCATTGGTGGGGGTGAACCAGCAGATGGAAGATCTTTTTCTCTCTGTGTCTCTCTTTTTCTCTGTAACTCTGACTTTCAAGTAAATAAAATAAATCTTTTAAACAGTGTGAAATCACTATATTCCGTTTCCTGCTCTAAGATAGAGATTTGGGGTGAAGTAGATATACAATACATCACTCTGCTATAATAACCTTTGCTCAGAATGACCAGCTCAGTGGAAATTAGAAAATAATAAATATATTTTGTCCACAAAAATCAATACAGATCATAAGAAGTGCGAAGGGATGTGCCAGTGTGAATATTTGTTCTTAAAATCATCCAGACCTATCATTACGATTTTTTTTAAGATTTATTTATTTATTTGAAAGGCAGAGTTACAGAGAGAGTTAGAGAGAGAGAGAGAGAGAGTTAGAGAGAGAGAGAGAGAGAGAGAAACTTCCTGTGGTTCACTCCACAAATGACCACAATGGCCAGAGCTGGGCCAGGCCAAAGTCAGGAGCCAAGAGTTTCATCCAGGTCTCCCACATGGGTGCAGGTGCCCAGTACTTGGGCCATTCTCCACTGCTTTCCAAGGCACATTAGCAGGGAGCTGAATCAAGAGGTGGAGCAGCTGGGACTCAAATCTGTGCCCATATGGGAAGCCAGCACCGCAACTTTGCCGGCTATGCCACAACACTGGCCCCCATCATTATCATTTTTTAAAAACATCTAACAACCTATAAAAGCTTATATAAAATCATTTCTTCGGCTGGCACCATAGCTCACTAGGCTAATCCTCTGCCTGCGGCACCGGCATCCCAGGTTCTAATCCTGGTCGGGGCGCCGGATTCTGTCCCGGTTGCCCCTCTTCCAGGCCAGCTCTCTGCTGTGGCCAGGGAGTGCAGTGGAGGATGGCCCAAGTGCTTGGGCCCTGCACCCCATGGGAGACCAGGCAGAAGCACCTGGCTCTTAGCTTCAGATTGGCTCAGCTTTGGATGTTATGGCCATCTGGGGAGTGAACCAGTGGATGGAAGACCTCTCTCTCTCTCTCTCTCTCTCTCTCTCTCTGGCTTTCCTCTCTCTCTGTATAACTCTGACTTTCAAATAAAACAAATATTTTTTAAAAAGAATATAATGTGTAATTTACTTAAATAATCATCTGGAAAATTCTTCTGCACCATTTTATGCCTAAGGTAATAACTAAATTTTAACCAATACAAAAATACACACTGACTTAGCATCTCTTAGCTCAAGTATCTATTGTGCCTTGAGTGTTACCAGCTTTCCCACTATTAATAGGCAGTGATTTGAATCCCCTATTATTTCAACCTGCCCCAATTTATTCCAGTTTGTTGGAAGACATGGACAATCTATATTGGCCTCATTCTTTTTTTTTTTTTTTAAGATTTATTTATTTATTTGAAAGGCAGAGAGAAAGAGAGAGAGAAAGAGAGAGAGAGAGAGAGAGTGAGAGAGAGAGAGAGAGGTCTTCCATTTGCTGGTTTACTCCCCAAATGGCTGCTATGGCCAGAGCTGGGCCAATCTGAAGCCAGGAGCCTGGAGCCTCCTCCAGGTCTCCCACATGGTTGCAGGGGCCCAAGGACTTGGGTCATCTTCTACTGCTTGCCCAGGCCATAGCAGGGAGTTGGATCGGAAGTGGAGCAGCCGGGACTTGAATGGCACCCATATAGGATGCCAGGACTGCAGGGAGTGGCTTTACCTGCTACGCCATAGCGCCACCCTGACAAGCTTTTCTAACAAATTTTACTTCTGAATCCCAGCATCTCCAGGTGTCTCTTGAGTGAATCACTGTAACTTAAGGACACATTTTCACGCACACACATTCTGCATCCATCACTCCTGCAGACACATCTGCCCACCCTTTTCTTAGCTGTATCCTCACAAAACGAGACAGATCAAGGCCATTGGGAAAGAGGTGCTTCCTCTTAAAACTAAACAAATGGAGCAAGAGGCCTCAGATATAGAAAATGTCTTTGTCATGTCCATGCCTTCCCTTTATGCAAAGTCATGCTCAACAGAATGGCACATACACCTGGGCAGAGGTCTGTGCCCTTCTCAAATCCTTTTGTCACCACCCTGAATTGTAGAAATGGAGACCATTAATTCCTAACTTCCTGTCAGTTTCTCTTCCTCCAACTAGGAGCTAAATAAGGATAAGAGGTATAAATTCATCCTTTTTCCCAATTCGATGAACTTTTCTCAAAACAAGCTTCCCTGCCCCTCTGCTCTGCTCTTCTTGAGATGGAATTAGCCTCCGTTGCAAATATAATTGTTAAAATTATAAATAACTTAAAAATGTATGCCCAGGAAAGTAAGTGGGAAAATTCTTAATATTCCAAGTTCTACAACTTCTGGCAAAGTTAGCCACATGATAGACTTTAAAATATGGATTATAAAGAAAACAAATACATGAGTGTCTCACAAGGCCCCAGGGTGGAGGAAACCTTAAAATGCTCTCATATAGTCATGCTTACAGGGAAGTGACACCCAACACCCAAATAACAGATTAAATAGGAATCTGTTTATGTTCCAATTACATGTCACCCTGAGGAACTCCATTCATTAGCTAACCACTATGAAAACCAAATTCTATGACATCTAGTACTAACCTCCAAATCATCTAGATCAGAAAGCTGGGGTCAAGGCTGGCACTGTGGCATAGTGGGTAAAGCCACCACCTGCAGTGCCGGCATCCCATTTGGACGCTGGTTCGAGTCCAGCTGCTCCACCTCCAATCCAGCTCTCTGCTATGGCCTGGAAAAGCAGAGGAAGATGGCCCAACTCCTTGGGCCCCTGCACCCACGTGGGAGACCTGGAAAAGCTTCCTGGCTTTGGATCAGATCAGCCCAGCCCTGGCCGTTGAAGCCATTTGGGGTTTGAACCAAGGAAGGAAGCTGGGGTGGGCATTTGGCCTAGTGGGTAAATGCAGGTTGGGGCACTTGTGTCCTTTATCAAGGTGCCTGGGTTCAAATCCAGGAAGTGCTCTTGATTCTAGGTTCTTGTTATTGAACAGCTTATGAGACAGCAAACAGGTGATGGCTCATGTAGTTGGTCCTCAACTACAACTGGCTATTGTAGGCATTTGGGAAGTGAACCAGCTGGTGGGAGCTCTCTGTCTCTCTCAAAAGAAATAAAACTTAGAAAGAAAGAAAAAGCAAGCAAGCTGAAGCAGTCTGTAGATGGGTCCTTTGCTTCTTAAGGTATCAGAGTCATTGAAATGCTGAAGTTTTCCTTGAAGATTCACTAGGGCACAATTATTTCATTTTTATTACAAAACCTGAGAAAAATAGTTTATTCCGTGTTCAGAATGAATAGAAAGCCGGCCTGGACTGGTTTCATTTGAATGAAATGCAGGCCAGTGGTAGTCAGCTGAAACCTCAGAACTCTACGATGATATTCCCCCATTCCATCTCACATAGGCACTTCACTCCTGGGTTAGGAGAAGGGCTCCCAGACTTCCTGGGGCCAGCATTGTGATACAGCAGGTTAAGTCGCCACTCATGACATTAGTATCCCATGTCAGAGTGCTAGTTCAAGTCCCTGGCTGATCCTGCTTCTGCTAGTGTGCCCAAGCACTTGGGCCCCTGCCACCCATGTGGGAGACTTGGAGTCCTTATGCCATATGGGGAGTGAACCAGAGGATGGAAGGTCTGTCTCTCTCTCTCTCCCTGTCACTTTGCCTTTCAAATAAATAAATCTTAAAACAAATAGAAGAAATATTTCTGACGTAGTTCCAGGAATTCCTGTCTTCTAGAAGTTTGCCAGGGAATTCTAATGCAAAACCAGTCCAGAATCCATCATACTCAAAACTAGCAGAATCTGGGGCCAGTGCTGTGGCGCAGCCGGTTAAAGCCTGGCCTGAAGCGCTGGCATCCCATATGGGCGCCGGTTTGAGTCCCGCTGCTCCACTTCCGATCCAGCTCCCTGCTATGGCCTGTAAACACTTGGGCCCATGTAAACACTTGGGCCAAGACTTGATACTCCTTTATCTGAAAAGTTGCTAATACCTTTTATTTTGGCCTGAGTCAGCTTGTAGAATGAAGGATGCTGAAGTTAAAAATTACCTCACTTTCCTACAGAAAGCTGTGGTCACCTATTACAACTGGACAACTTTTATTTTCATCTACTTGAAAAGTAGAACAGAGATGAGTTCTTCCATCCTCTGGTTCACTCCCCAAATGCCAGCAACAGCCCCGGCTGAGCCACACGGAAGCCAGGAGCCAGGAGCTTCACCCAGGTCTCCCCTGTGGGTGCGAAGGCTCAGGTGCTGAAGCGTGCGTCTGCTGCCTCCAGTATGTATCAGCAGGAAACTGGATCAGAAATCGAGGCAGGGCTCAATCCTACGCACCCCATTATGGGATGCAGATAATTCCAAGATGTTAAGCCACCCAGACACAATACCTGTCCCTATTTAACTTTTAATGTTTTATTTATTTTCATTTACTTGGAAGGTAGCGATAGGGAGAGGAGAGAGATCTTCCATTTGCTGGCTCACTCTCCAAATGCCAGTAGCCAGGGCTGGGTCAGGCAGAGGCAGGAGCCCAGAACTCAATCCAAGTCTCATACGTGGGTGGTAGGGACTCCAGCACTTGCTGCCTCCCAGGGTACGTTAGCCGAAGCTAAGTAGCCGGGACTTGCACCAGGTAGTCTGAGATGGGATGGAAGTGTTCCAAATGCCTGCTCCCCCAATATTAGTTTTTTTATATTCTACCCAGGTTTTCTAAGAAAGATTTTATCCCCCTTGGAAAGAGACATTAAGTTCCCCTTTTTAAAAAAAAAAAATTATTTGGAAGTCTGAGAGAAAGGGAAACAAGGAGGGTGGGAAGATTTATCTACCACCTGTTGGTCTATTCATCCCCATATGGCTGGGGCTGGGCCAGGTTGAAGCCAAAAGCCAGCTTAATTGGGGTCCCTGACATGGGTGCAGGGGCCCAAGTACACGGGCCATTTTCCACTGCTTTTCCCAGCCTATTAGCAGGGAGCTGAATCTGAAGTGGAGCAACTGATCTCATACTAGGAATTCTTGTGGACAGGCTTACCAGTTTCACAATACGAATTTCTGAGTTTTACCCCTATACTCACCAAAGGCCACTTGATTCAAGATTAAGACTCATACTCAAAACTAGAAAGCCTGCTGAGTTCCTGCTCTCTACAAGGGCAGGTGGCTTATAGAAATGTGGAAGGTTTAAAAAAAAAAAAAAAAAGTGCCCATTACAATACAGGTAGAGCAAATCCAGGGAGACATAGTTCACAGGGAACTGGTAAGGCTACACTGGAAGTATAGGTTCTATATCGCAGAAATCACTGAACCTGTGATTTTGTCACTGTTCAGCTGTGTGACAACACCCATTTTGATCCTTGGCTTCCTCATCTCTATGTGGGTTAGAACTAGATCTGTGATTATTTAAGCTCTAAGAACGGGTATGCAAGTATGCTGACATTTTCTGTCCTTCAATATCCCAACATAAAGAACACAAACTCTGGTAGGTTAGAGCCAGGGATGGGATGGTTCTGTGACTTACCAGCCGAGAAGGCAAAACAGTAACTTTTCCCTACCTGACTTGCACTACCATACACTGCCGCAGAAAATACTGGGAGTGTATCCACAATATTATGACCCACTTCCTATCTTCTGCTAGTAAAGCTGCATATTTGGATCTGGACCTACATAAGAGTTTAAGAAAAAGGCTAAAATTTCCCTTACCAGTAATTTCCACGACTGTCCTTTGTCTTGTCCCTACCAGGAATGCAAGGGACTCCTCCCTTGAAACGTAGCTCCTGTCAGGCCCACTCATATCATGATTTTTCTAAGGTTTACCTTTCTACTTAATATTCCTCAGAATAATGAAAACAGCTCATTTTAAACAAGAAGTTTATTTAAACAACAAGACGCTTGACTTGAAGGGAAAACTATCTAGGATTCATTTTTTTAAGAGTAATTTACCCCTACTTAAAGACAGATTGCCCTACATGTAACAGCTACGTACAAAAAAGTTATAAAATTGTCCTTGGTTTTACAATGATAAATGAAAAACATTAAAATTCTCCAATCAAACAAGGTATGCAAGGATTTTTATGTTGTTGGTTTTTTTTGTTAAAACAGTGAGAGCAAAATAACTTACTGGAATATAAAGATAAGAGCTGAATGAGCATGCCACTCATGGAGAAAGGGGGTATTTTCACAGAACCAGGATTTTTCCCCATTCCATCTCCATTTGATGTCAATCAAAACATACCATTGGCCATTTAGTTTAAAAAAAAAAAAAGGAGAGAAAGAAAAGAAAAAATGCAATATGCTTGTGCACATACACCAGTTACTTTATGTACAATAAAGGAATGGGGAGGGGAAATGAAAGAATAGAGACTATGCTGCAGTAGTCAGGGTGTGGTGGAACCCAGTCGCAGTTTTCTGGCTGAGAATGTGTTCTTGGTCTGAAGGACAGAGTTCTGGAGTAAAGCAGCGGGTTCCCTTTTCAGTAGACACCGCCCGTCTGCTGCTGGAACACATCAATCGTATCTTCGTCCTCCATTTCCAACTAGCATCAAAAGGAAAAAACAAACGTTAAGACCACTGATGAAGCTCTTAAAATTTGTAATTTTCAGATTTAAATATCCTGGAAAAATGCACAAGTTTTATCTAATTCCAGTGCTCATTATTTTAGATATCCCATAACATAAAGTGCGTAAGATTTCTCATTTGGTCACCCTTCGTATGAATGCTAGAGAAAGCGTAGCTCGTTTCTGGAGATTTGTTTCTGGGGCCAGTGTTGTGGCACAGCAGGTGAAGACACCACCTGTGACGCCAGCATCCCATATGGGCACCGGCTGAGTCCTGGCTGCTCCACTTTCAATCCGGCTCACTGTTAATGGCCTGGGAAAACAGAAGATGGCCCAGGTATTTGGATCCCTGACACTGCCATGGGAGACCAGGGAGCAGCTCCTAGCTTCAGCCTAGCCTAGTCCTCACCATTGCAGCCTTGGGAAAGTGAACCAGCAAATGGAAAACTGAACGAACTCTCTGCTGCTCTGTAACTCACCTTTCAAATAAATAAATAAATCTTAAAAAAAAAAAAAAAAATTGCTTATAACAGGGGCCAACCTGGGCCGCTGCCTTCCACACCAGCAACCCACAGGAGCACCAATTCTAGTGCTGGCTGCTCCACTTTTCATCCAGCTCCCTGCTAATGCACAAAGGGAAAGCAGTGGGAGATGACTTAAGTGTCTGGGCCTCTGCCATCCACATGGGAGACCCGAATGGAGTTCTGGCCTCCTGGTTTGCTGGACATTGCAGTCACTTGGGAGTAAACCAGTAGATGGAAGATCTCTGTGCCTCTTCCCTCTAACTCTGCCAATAAGTAAATAAATCTTTAAATAATAAATGCTAATTGCTTACCATGAACAAGTTTACTTGTTTTAAAAAAACTAATTTTAAATGTTATTTAAAAAATAGGCAGCTTTACAAGTTTATTGTGCTAATTAACTTTGAAAAACTTTCTAGCCGGCGCCGTGGCTCAATAGGCTAATCCTCCACCTTGCGGCGCCGGCACACCGGGTTCGAGTCCCGGTTGGGGCGCCGGATTCTGTCCCGGTTGCCCCTCTTCCAGGCCAGCTCTCTGCTATGGCCAGGGAGTGCAGTGGAGGATGGCCCAGGTGCTTGGGCCCTGCACCCCATGGGAGACCAGGAAAAGCACCTGGCTCCTGGCTCCTGCCAGGATCAGCGCGGTGCGCCGGCTGCAGCGGCGGCCATTGGAGGGTGAACCAACGGCAAAAAGGAAGACCTTTCTCTCTCTGTCTCTCTCTCTCACTGTCCACTCTGCCTGTCAGAAAAAAAAGTAAAAAAAAAAAAAAAAACACTTTCTAAATACTGGTAATCTCAAAGGTAAAATAGTAACCATGAACATCTAAAGATAAGGAATGCTTTCTAATAAGTGCAAATACACTGAAAGTAGTACTGGGGCTAGCACTGTGGTACAGAGGGTAAAGCACCAGCCTGCAGCACAGGCATCCCATGTGGGGCCAGTTCAAGTCCTGGCCGCTCCACTTCCCATCCAGTTCCCTGGCTCAGGTATCTGGGAAAGCAGAAGACATCCCAGTTACTGGGGCTCCTGCCACCCACATGGGAGACCTGGACAGAGTTCCTGGCCCAGTGCTGGCCATTGCGGCCATGTGCGGAGTGAGCCACTGGATGAAGATTTCTCTCTGCCTCTCACTGTAACACTTTCAAATAAATTAAAAAAAAAATAGTAGTACTAAGGCATTGTTATGGATAAGGAGGATTTAAAAACAGAAAATAGGGGCGGCGCTGTGGTATAGTTGGTAAAGCTACCGCCTGCAGTGCCAGCGGATGGAAGACCTCTCTCTGCCTCTCTGCAACTCCACCTTCAAATAAATAAGTCCTTAAAACACACACACACACACACACACACACACACACACTCTGCTAAACTACATTCTCTTCACTCAGGTTTTGTTTCATTTTGTTGTTTGAGAGGCAGAGTTACAGAGTGAGAGGGAGAGACAGATCATCCAAACTGGTTCACTCACCAAATGGCCTCAAAAGCCATGGCTGGGCCAGGCCAAAGTCAGGAACCCAGAGCTCCATCTGGGTCTGTGCACAGAAGGGCCCCGAGCACGGGGGCCACCGAGTGCTGTCAGCAGGGAGCTGGCTCAGGAGCCAGAACTCAAGCCAGTGCTTGTGGGGGTGCAGGGCAGCCCACTGGACCACACCAGCCCCTTTACTCAGCTTCTGTTTAACAAGTATGCACTGAGAGGCGGGACTTCCCCTCTGCCAGTCACTACCTGAATGCCTGCAACAACAGCCCAAAGCCAGAAATTCAATTACTGGCGCCATTACCACTGCTTCCCAGGTCTGCATTAACAGGAAGCTGTAGTCAACAGTCAGAGATGGATCCAACTCAGGTGCTCTAACATGGGACACATGTGCTATAACCAGTATCTTAACCCCTAGGCCTAATCCTGGTCCCTCAGTATTTTTTTTTTTAAAACAATTGTTTAAACAATCACAACAGGATAGTCGTCCTACCTGCTGAAATGTTAACTTAAAAAAATTTTATTTGAAAAACAGAATTACCGGGGTGAGGCGGGGCAGACAGAGAAGCCTTCCATCCACTGATTCTCTCCCTAAACGGCCATAACGGCCAGGTGGAAGTCAAAGCTTCATCTGGGTCTCCCACATGGGTGCAGGGGCCCAGGGATTTGGACCATCTTCCACTGCTATCCCAGGACATTAGCAGGGAGCTGGATTTAAAGTGGAGCAGCTGGGATTTGAACCAACACCCACACTGGATGCTGGCAGTGCCAGGCAGAGGCTTCACCTTCTATGCCACAGCGCCAGCCCCTGGCATGATAACTTTTATAAGGAAACTTCAACATCTTCAAAATATTAGCGATCCTTTCCCTCGGCATTCATTGAGAGAATGTGGCTCCTCCTTGTGGCTACACACTATAATTGCTTCTTACAGATTCAAAGGAAATTTAAGCCAGTGCCCATAAAGGACGCCAGCTTCACAGGCAGTGGCTTAACCCGCTGTGTCACAAAGCTGGCCTTTTTTTTTTTTTTTTACAGGCAGAGTGGACAGTGAGAGAGAGACAGAGAGAAAGGTCTTCCTTTGCTGTTGGTTCACCCTCCAATGGCTGCTGCGGCCGGCGCACCGCGCTGATCCAAAGCCAGGAGCCAGGTACTTATCCTGGTCTCCCATGAGGTGCAGGGCCCGGCACTTGGGCCATCCTCCACTGCACTCCCGGGTCACAGCAGAGAGCTAGCTTGGAAGAGGGGCAACCGGGACAGAATCCGGAACCCCGACTGGGACTAGAACCTGGTGTGCTGGTGCCGTTAGGCAGAGGATTAGCCTATTGAGCCGCCGCGCCGGCTGGCCCCTGTATTTTTTATATTTCAGTTTTATCACTCAATAGCAACTAAAAAATACAAGTGGGTGTTGGGTCTGTGACTAGGCTGCTGGTTAGGAAGCCCAGGTCCCCCGATATTCCTGCTACCCATGTGGAAAACCTGGATTGAGCTCCAGGCTCCCCGCTCTGACCTCGTGCAGTCCTGGCTGTTGGGGGCATTTCGGGGATGAACCAGCAGATGGGAGCTCTGTCTCTCAAAGCAAAAATAAACAAGAAACCAGGGCTGGCGCCGAGGCACAGCATGTAAAGCTGCTGCCTGCCAACACTGACTGCTCCACTTCTGATGTAGTTCCCTGGCTAACGTGCTTGGCAAAGCAGCAGAAGATGGCCCGACTTCTTGGGCCCCTGCCACCCACACGAGACCCAGAGGAAGCTCCTGGCTCCAGCTTGGTACAGCCCCGGCTGTTACAGCCTTCTGGAGAGTGAAGCCCTCTGTCTCTCCTCTGTGTAACTCTTTCAAACAAATCTTAAAAAAGAAAGAAAAAATAATTATGACACGTGTGTAACAGCATATCCAGATTGAAGTTCTGTTGACAATCTTGGAAGACTGCAAATTTCTATGAGTTGTACTTGAAGGAAAAAATGTTTTGAGAAGTCAGAATTTGGGCAGAGCAAGTTAAGCCAGCACTGGTATCCCCTGTCAGCACCAGTTCTTCAATTTCTGGCTGCTCCACTCCCAGCCCAGCTCCCTGCTAAAGCACCTGGGAAAGCAGCAGATGACCGGAGTGCTTGGGCCCCTGCACCCACGTGGGGACCTGGATGGAGTTCCAGGCTCCTGGCTTTGGCCTGGTCCCATCTGAGCCTTTGAGGACATTTGAGGAATAACACTGGATGAAATTTGGTTTTTTCTCTCTCTCAATGTAATTATGCCTTTCAAACAAACAAATCTTTAAAAAATAATAGTAAAAAGGGATCTGGGGAAGGCACTGTGGCACAGTGAGTTAAGCTGCAGCTTGAGACACCTGTATCAGAGCAGCTGGTTCAAGTCCCAGCTACTCCACTTTGGATCAGATTTCCTGCTCACATGTAACTTGGGGGGGAACAATGATGGCTAAATTACTTGGGTTTCTACTATCCACGCAGAAGACACAGACTGAATTCTAAGCTCTTGGCTTCTGCCTGGTCTAGCCCCAGTTGCCATGAGCATCTGGGGAGTGAATTAGCAGATGGAAGATATCTGTGTCATATTCTGCCTTCCAAATAAGATTAAAAAAAAAAAAAAAAAGAGGGGGGGTGCCCAGGCATCCCATATGGGCGCTGGTTCTAGTCCCAGCGGCTCCTCTTCCTATCCAGCTCTCTGCTGTGGCCTGGGAAAGCAGTGGAAGATGGCCCAAGTCCTTGGGCTGCTGCCCCCACCTGGGAGACCTAGAAGCAGCTCCTGGCTCCTGATGGGCGCAGCTCCAGCCATTGCAGCTAACTGGGGAGTGAATCAGCAGATGGAAGACCTTTCTCTCTTTCTCCGCCTCTCCTCTCTGTGTAACTCTGACTTTCAAATAAATAAATAAATCTTAAAAAAATAGGATGGGACCAAATTTCAATTTCTGCTATAACAATCATTCAAAATCCTTTTTGACAAGACTGGAAATCTTCAGAAGTTTGAGAAGGGGCCCGGCACTGTGGAGTAGTGGGATAAGCCTCTGCCTGCAACACCAGCACCCCATATAGTTCGATGGTTCAAGTCCTAGATGCTCTGCTTCTGATCCAGCTCTCTAATTTGGCCTGGGAAAGCAGAAGATGGCCCAAGTGCTTGGGTCCCTGCAACCGTGTGAGAGACCCAGAAGCAGCTCTGGGCTCCTGCCTTCAGACTGACTCAGCTCCAACTGTTGCAGCCATTTGGGGAGTGAACCAGTGGATGGAAGAGGTCATCACTCACTCATTGTCTCTCTCTCTCTGCCTTTCAAGTAAACAAAAGAATCTTAAAACAACAATAAGACACACCCATAGAGAAACCTGGGCATGATCATGGGCTACAGCAAAAAAACAAAAAGCAAACTACTTTCTGAAGAAGCAGACAGAAATTTTAATTATTTTCTCCAAATAATATTGATAACAGGAAAAAGGGATTCATTATTAAATTATTAATAGTAATTAGATGACTTACTCCCTTTACTGAGTGATAACCACATATCTGAAAATCATTAGCATTTCCTTAATCCATTCCTGTTTGTTGCTTTGCTCCCCTTTGGTCACATTTCACATAGCTTTGAACTCTGCAAGAACTATATTCCAATATCTACAACCTCACAAATTTGAGAAGCTGTTGAAAAAAAAAAAAAAAAGATTTTTCTAATAAGCACCAAGAAATTTTTACCTGTGCAGGTGTGTCTGATTCATTGATTGGCTGCCCGTCAAATCGGAATCTGATCTGCCTCATTGACAAACCCTGAACAAGAGAGTTTACAAGCAATAAGGAATGTGTAAAGAAGCAGTAAGAATCCCACTGAGATGAAACCATAAGCATATTTACACCTGAGTATAGTAAAAGCTACCTAATCAAACAATCATCAATATTAACATTTCTAAGTAATAAAAAGACTCTACAGTGATTCTTTCGAGTATGCTTGGATCTAGTAGGAAAAACAAATCATCTTTTAAAAAACCTTTACTGCTTTTGACACCAGATACCCCAAACTAGAATAGATCATACCTGAGACAAATACTGTATTTAAGTAAGCGAGACACTGAAAGGAAACATAAAGTAACAAATTCCTGTTAGCTCTCTAAAAGGGGAAAAAACCCTCCTTTACAATAAAAACAGAAAGTCACCTGAAAACATGTTGCATGATTAAATTGAAAATTTGCCTTTGAAAGCCAAAAAAAAGCTTACATTCCTTCCTACCCATACAGTTCCTACCACTATGCAAACCAAAGACCCCAACTCCTGAACAATGCTACCCATGCCGTGAGCACTGAACAAGTTCTTATCCTTGAAGTCGTCAGCTCATTTCCAGAAGTCAGGGAGTAACTGTCCTTAAAATCACCCATAAGACCACACTCTTTACCCATGAAATTCCTAGAATAGCTCAAAAGTACCTGGTTCTTAGTTTCTTGCCTAGTAGTTATTAGTAAATGTCTCACTACAAAACAAGTTCCAGGAGAAACTGTCTTAGCTACTGTATTATACACAGTGGGTACTGCTAAGTACTAACAGTAAAATGATGAAAAGCAATATGCGGCTGGTGCAGCGGCTCACTTGGTTAATCCTCCGCCTGCGGCACCGCCACCCCGGGTTCTAGTCCCAGTTGCTCCTCTTCCAGTCCAGCTCTCTGCTGTGGCCCCGGAGTGCAGTGGAGGATGGCCCAAGTCCTTGGGCCCTGCACCCGCATGGGAGACCAAGAGGAAGCACCTGGCTCCTGGCTTCGGATCGGCGCAGTGCCGGCCATAGCAGCCATTTGGGGGGTGAACAACGGAAGGAAGACCTTTCTGTCTGTCTCTCACTGTCTAACTCTGCCTGTCCAAAAAAAAAAAAAAGGCAATATGCATCTAACCCCACTTTACTTTGTTAACCTAAAAATCAAAAATAAACCAAAAGATACTAAAAAGTTGGAAGGAAGCTTTATTATAAAAATGAAATTTTAAAACTATGTTAGTTCAACTTCAAGGTACTTTTATACGTATTTAGGAGATTCATGAGCATAAACATGCCATTTCTGCAAAACAGATTTCAGTGTTGTACTTATAAACTTAGCATGATTTACTCGACAAAGGGGTAAGAAGGGAAAAGAAGCCAAAAAGCAAAATTGTTGGCAACAACCAGACGAAGACAAGACAGGAAAGTATCTTTGGAGAAATGCTGTGAATTCACTTAATAGCTTTCTAGGAAACGTCTAACAGTCACCACTGAATCATGTTCGTATTACAACTGTTGTTAAATCAACTCCCTTAGACAGCAATTGATGATTAAAGATAACAGTTCCTGGGACTAAAAACATTGAAACAAAGCACTCACACACCTGTGTAATACCTATATTCCTTATTTAACAAGGATTTACTGAACCTGTGCTTACAAAAAACTACCCGTCACATGAAGTTCCTATTTGCTCTCCTTTAAAATGCTACTCTGGTTAAGTGGTGGGCACGTACCACTTTCAGACTATGCCAGAGACGCAGTCCCCCAGCCAGGCAGGTGACACCTATAACTTTAATTCACTGCAACTTTCAAATTTGTCATTACACCAAACAACCAAGAATTCCCTAAAAGCCATTAATTTTGCTAAGTATTACATATGTGCAAGCACTCCATTTAAGTCTTCTGTCAACAAAATGCTAAGCACCTTCTTATGCTGGGTTCTTCGCTAAAACCACCGGTAGTCAATGAAGTCAGTCCAGAGGGGAAAAGGCAAGGGCAGGATCACAGAACCCAGCCCAGCTGTACTCCTTCACTGCCCCGGTACTGGAGGGCACACAAATGCGCAGAGTGACGGGAAGAGCTGTGCTGAGAACGCTCAGGGCCCCAACACAAAATTCATCCCAAACAAGTCATGCACTGTCACCAGGTTCCTCTAACTCCGTTTTCTTAGATGACTCAATGCTTCCCCTACCAATTAAACTAAGTCATCACTCATTAATTTGCCACGATATCAAGTCCAAAGAACATTTATTTGCCTCTAAGATTCCTTACACCAGCATCTGAGTTCCTCTTCTGTACAAACTCTACCCCTGAGCCAGCTGTGCCCAGGAGTCCTGCGAGGAATCGCAAGGCATTGCTGCTGCTTCATTTCCTAAGAATGAGTTGTAGTAAATGGTACTCACTTTATATCACTCCATGACATAACCGCTAGAATCAAACAGTATCAACAGCTCTCAGTTAGCTGAAGGCTACGTGCAGACAGTGTGCAAACTACTGTGTGATTGAAAAGCTCTTCACAAACCCATCTCTGCACAGTGAATGTCTGCTGTCACTTACAAGCACTTACGGAACATGCTCTATGTGCTCAGACACAGTGCACGCTGGACAGAGTGCAAAGTTCCTATCATCCTAGAGCTCACATTTTAGTGAAAACTGACAAAAACAGGAAGTAATCAAGGCAAAAAACAAACCAAAAAAGAGGACTAAATGATGGGAACAAGGGCACTTCCACTCAAGACCTGATGGTCAGAGAAGACTGAGGTAGTAATTGAGCAAAACTGTAATAAAACAGTTGGAGGACATGTGACTGTCTATGTCAGCACCATCCATAACAATGTGAGCCACACAGGTAATTTTTTCTAGTAGCCTCATCAAAAAGTTAAAAATAGGGGTGGTGTTTGGCCTGGCGGTAGAACTGCCAGTTGGGACGTCTGTATCCTCTACTGGAGTGTCTCATCCTCAAGCTTTGGTTTTGCTTTCCATCTTCTTGTTAACGTGTGTACCCTGGGATACAGTAGGTAACGGCTCAAGTACTTGGGTCTCTGCCACTCACACGGGAGACCTGAACTAAACTCCTGGCTCCTGCTTTCAGCCAACTGTTGCAGGCATTTGGGGAGCCAATCAGCATATGGGAGCTCTCTCTTCCACCAAAAACTATCCAAAAAACTTTTTTGAAAACAAAGTTTTAATAATTTAACTCAATATATTCAGAATACTATTACTTTAACATACAATTTTAAAGTCAAGATACCTACTTTTCTTATATCTAATCCTCAACATCTGGGATGTATTTTACTATAAATGACATCTAAATTTGCATTATCCACCTTTCAAGTGGACAATAGGGACATGTACCTTGTGGCTACCATACTGGACAGAACGGAACTTGCGGATGGATTTTTATAAGTTATGACAGCATCATCAAGGATGACTTCAAGGTTTTTACTTTAACAGTTGGACATAGAATGGAACCATTTTTTAATCTTTTAAAACCAACAGTTGGGGCTGGCGTTGTGGCATAGCAGGTGAGGCTGCCACCTGCAGTACCGGCATCCCAAATGGGCGCCAGTTGAGACCCAGCTGCTCCACTTCCAATCCAGCTCTCTGCCACGGCCTGGGAAAGTAGTAGATGATTGCCCAAGTCCTTGGGCCCCTGCAGCTGTGTGGGAGACCCAGAAGCAGCTCCTGGCTCTGGATCAGTGCAGCTCCAGCCATTGTGGCCATCTGGGGAGTGAAGCAGCAGATGGAAGATCGATCTCTATCGATTTCTCTCTCTCTCTCTGCCTCTCTTCTGTGTAACTGACTTTCAAATAAATAAATCTTTTCTTTTTTTAAAAGGCAGTTTCTTCTTTTTAAATGCCCATTTATTTTCATTGTATTTGAAAGGCAGAGAGATAGAAAAAAGATCTTCTATCTGCTGCTTCACTCCCCAAATGCCCAGAATAGCCAGGGCTGGCCAGAAAGAAGTCAGGAGCCCAGAACTCAATCCAGGTCTCTCATGTGGGTGACAAGGACCCAAGTACCCACCTGCTGCCTCCCAAAGTGCACATTCAGCAGGGAGCTGGAATTAGAAGTGGAACAGGATTTGAATCCAGGTACTTAGATATGGGATGCAATTGTCCCAAGCAGCACTCCAACCACCTCACCAAATAGCCCACCCCAGTATCATCTGTTCAATGAGATTTCTAGGGGTAAATACAAGATTCCTCCTTTTAAGACATCCATGTCCCTCTTCAGAGACATGATACCAAGTGAACTCATTCGAAAATAAATATGAACATTCAATTAATCTTGATAGAAAATCCTTGGTCAAGAATTCTTAACCACCAAAGGAAAAAAAAGAAATCATGTAGCTATGCAAATCAGATCGCAAAGTCTTTTCATAGCCAGTATCTTATATGACATTCCAACTCTCCCTGCCTTAGAAGCAGACAAACCATTTGAAATATAAACAAGAATCTGTTATGCAGAACTGGGAAGTTATTCCCAATTTATGAGGAAAATGAGAATCTCTGAGTTCTTCCTGCTTAAGACCTTCAAATCATATTTATATTCTGAGATAAGCAAAACTTAATTCTACTTTCTATGGACTAGTAGTGCTTCTGGATCCTTAGTGCAAATTAAAGAGTGTTCTTAACAAGTTTAGTCAATATAATCCCAATTAAAAGAAAAACTTATTTATACTTGGTAATATACTAAACTCAGTTTATCATGGCAAGAAAACCAAAAATTCTTGATGGACCTGATAACACTTCATCATACAGAGAAATCTCTTATAAAGGCCATCGGGAATAGCGGATGAGCTTCATTATTTTTTTTTTTTTTTGGTATCTCATATATAATATATAATGCCCCCAGCAATGGTAGGCACCTGGTAAATATCTGATATCCTTTGGGGCCCTGATATGTGACATAGGAAGTCTTAAATGATCTTTTTAGGATCGACAGAAGGAGTTAACACATATAACAAACGGTTAATATATGAAGGTAGCAGTAGCACAGGGATACATTGACTACAAAAAAAAATTTTGTTTTCCTAGCAATTGTTGAAAAATCTGATACTAAAAGCTAAAATTTTGTAGTGATTACAGAAAAATTCATAAGATATGCAGACAACATTGTTCAAAACCACCCAAAGAAAGCCTAAGTTTTTATTTTGCATAAGATTTTGCTACATAAGTTCTACAAAATAATTACCTTTTCAAACCCCTATAACCTGAAGGGTCACTTAATGTTCAAATATGGAAGACATCAGTGCATAAATTGTTTAGCACAAATAGTAAGTTTGTATTTGCTAACCCTTAGAAGAATTTAACCAAAATTGTTCAGATAAAAGTATATTAAAGATCTTATCTTTGTCAGGAACTATAAAATTTACATATGAAGGTAAAGAATATGGGCTTAGTATTCTATTACATTGTAAATGATGTAGACATAAAATAATGCTTCAAACACTTAAAAAGTTTATGTCACTGTATCTTTCAAATATCCTTAGGTATCATGGAGGAAGCCCAAATATCAACTCAAACAGCCTCCCAACTTAGAAAGGTTTAAGTCTTGTTCTATTTTGAGCCTATTTTTTACATCACTTCACAATGTAGATTAACTTCCTGTAGCCTAAAAAAACTATTTTCCCAACTTTTATGTATTATACATTGATAGGATACTTCTGCTGTTAGGTTATTGTTGGATTAACAGATTCAGACACCACTTTTTGTTACATTTGTAAAAGTCATCTTTATAGTTGCTTTTGTCTTGTTAGGGACTCTCAAAATTCCAGAAAAGCAGTGAAAACTTGCATTTACCCCATTGCATCTGGTCAAATTAAGACAGCAGACTTTCCCACTTCCCCTTCTTGATGCTTATATACTATTTTTCTGAGTAAAATGCAAATACTCCTACAGCAATATTTATGCTTGGCTCAGTGGACTTAAATTTTTCTGGCCTCTACTATCAGTGTATACTATCAGTGTAAAAAAAAAAAAAAGCAAATGATACAATTTACATACATTGGGAAACTGTCAATATCCTTAACTATTTTATTACCAAATTGGTTAAAATACTAAAAATGAATGTTCTGATGGGAGAGTTTGACAAGAAATTTTGCCAAGTTCACTCTTATTTTCTTATAAAGGTAAAACTGCAACCCCTAGGAAGCAAACTAGTATTATAAATGAACACAGATGCATTTCTGGGAAAGGACTGGCATTATGTATAATATTAATTATTCTAAGGGCTTTCACGAGGAATCATATATAAATATATGTATACACACACCCAGTGTATGAAAAAACTGTTATGTCAAGTATGTAAGTGCATATTTATCCTATCAAAAATACTCATCTTAATATTACCCTAGTCTATTTCCTCAAGAAATATGGCTTTAAAAAAGCAGTGGCATTCAGTAAAGTGCAGACAATTCCTCACCTGTCGTTCACAATAGGCTTTCATTAGTTTACTAAGTGGTGTATGCCTCTTAATCTTAAACTGCACCACAGAACCATCCTGCCCCGCCACCTTCAAATTAATATGATCGTTGTTCTCAGTCTTGACTCCTTCCTGTTGAAAGAAAAATAAAAGTATAATTTGGAAAATGTGGAAAACACCTTTTAGAAAAGTAGCAGCCCACGTTGCTTCGGCAATCAACAGGTTTCTCGTTCTGATACAACACACAGCTGCTTCAGCCACCGCAATCAACGTGAACCACGACAAATCCTGCGGCGCCGAGAGCTGTCACGGAAGCCTGCGTGCGACACGAGCGGGGCAACAGCAGGCCCAAGAGGGGTCCCACTCAGCTCACGGCGATGCTCCCAAGTCTCTGACTCCCAAAACTGTCTTTTCCCCCAAAAGGTGAAAAGCGTCCTCTCTCTCCTCAAAGCGTGTTCAGAGGCAACTGCTGGAATAAGAATGCACCGACAAAAAGCCAGAGCTTGCAATTCAAAACGCACTGCTATTATCTCGTTAAAAAGTTACCAAAGTCAGCTCAACAACTTCAATTCAAGCTGCATGAAAGAAAACAAGAAAAATGAAGAAGCCCTCTTGGCGGGCCCTCCGGCTTCCCCCGGAACCGCCACCAGCCGCGTCCGCCCCCGCGGGCATCTTCCTTCGCGCCGGGTCGCACTCCGGGTCCAGCGTGCGGTCAGCGGCCGGCACACGGCCTCCCAGCAAGCCCTCCTCGTGCACTTAACCCGACCGCGTCGGAGCCTCAGAGAGCCGAGGCGTGCGGAGCGGCGGGTGTCACCGCGAGCCGCACGTCCCGCGCCCCGCGCCGCGTCCAAAAGTTGAGCCCGCAAAGTGTCCGCCGGAACGGCTGCCTCCAACTTCCCGAAAGCACACGGCGTGCGCGGGTGGGGGTCGCTGCCCCTCCCCCCCGCTGCCACCCGAGTGGGAAAGGTTCCTCGGGAGCCCCCGGCCCCGCCGCAGCCCATTGATTCCCCAGAGCCGGGCGGGGGTCCCGAGCTGCCCGCGCGGGGCCCCCACCCCGGGAGGGGGACCCCGGGCCGCAGGCGCTGCCCCGCGCCGGGGAGGCGGCCCCGCGCGGGGTCGGCCGAGGTGGGAGCCGCGGGGACTAACGCCCCTGCTCGCGCGCCCAGCCGGCCGCGCCGAGAAGCCCCGCGCGGGGCCGGCGGCCACGGGCGTCCGCGATCCGCCCGCCCAACTCGCGCCGGCGCGCACTCGGAGGCCGCGGGGGCGGGGGCGGGCGGCGGGGCCTCCTCCGGCGCGGGAGGGCGGCCGGGAGGAGGGAGGAAAATGGCGCGGAGCGCCCGGGCCTGAGCGGCGGCCGGCCCCGCGGGGGGCCCGGGGAGGCGCTGGGAGCCCGCGGCGGGCTCGGCCGGACCCCGGCCGGCGCCGTCAGGCCGGCCGCGAGGCGAGGAGGCCGGCGCTGCGCTCACCTTGGGCTTTTCGTCGGCCATGGCGAGCGCCGGGGTCTCCTCAGCTGCCGCTTCACAAAAGAGGTACCAGGTCCGCACCGAACGCGCACACAAGCAGCACCAGGAGCGGCAGAAGAAGGAGGCGGCAGCGGTGGACGAAGGCGAGGGCGCGCGCACGTCGTGCGCTCCCTCCCCCCACCCTACGTGCGCGAGCACGAGCCGCCGAGGCCTCCTATTGGCTATCGCGTCGCGGGAGCGCGCAACGCTTACATAACCACCCCGCCCCCCCCAGCCCCGCGCGGCCGCCGCCTGGGCCAGGCGCCCGCCAGGCCGGCGGGAAGAGGCGCGGACACGCGCACCCGGCCCGCCGCGGGGGCGCGCCTGGCTCTGGGCGGGGCTGTATTGTCCTCCTTCTGTGGTGGAGCATAATCAAAATGGCTTCCAGCTGGTCCTCACTGGGGACGAGGAGACTCGAGGCCTTAGACGTGAGCTTTAGGCCAGGGAGGGCAGACCAAGTGGACACGGGAGGGGAAGCCTAATTCAACCCCCCAGCGTGAGGTTCTGGAGAAACCCTCTTGTCCGGTGGCCCTCACGCAGCTCTCCTCAGGGTGACAGAGACAACCCACTTCCTCGCAGCAACCTCACTGTTTTAGGTGTCAGCGCTTCAGCCTCAGCCGGCCTCCCACCGGGCTCCTGCCAGGAGTACTGTGCGACCTCCGCCCCGGGGTAACCCCAGACTTTGACTACCTGAGGAAAACGCTCACTTATTCATTCAACAACTCACTCATGACCTGCCCTTCAACTTCCAGGAGGAAGCAGCCCCCCAGAGCGAACTGCCCAACGCCAAGCTTCTACAACCCAAGCGATCCTTCCCTCCCTGCGCTCAGTTAAAGAACACAGTGGGCGCCTGCTGTTTGAAGAAGGATGCCCACGTCCGTGCAGTGGAATCCACCTCGCACGTCCCAGTCGGCGTTATTTTCTCCTTTTCCCTGTATTTTCTTCCACTCTTGTATTAGCATAGGAAAAAAAAAAAAAAAAGCCTGAATTCTATTATGCTACCACCGTATCTCCATTCCTGGCCAAACCGCTTGAGAAAGTGTCCAGGCCAGCTGTCCCTCCTCCCTCGCCTCCCACTCATGCTCGATCCGCCGCAATCTGGCGCTGCGGGCTCCTGCGCTCCCCCAGGTCGCCGCCAGGCCCTGCTGGAGCCAGTGCGCGTCCCGCTTGAACTCCCTGCGACTTCTTGGTAGGTCACACTTCCTCTCATCCTCCTCTGGCCTCAGCCCTCCCCCTCGCTGTTCCTTGGGGTTTGCTCTAGACCCTTTGCTGACTGTACTCCCTTTTCCCCGGGACAACTTCATCCCCTTCCGTTAACATCTGTCTGCTAATGGTGCTCAATTCTGTTATTTCTAGGTCAGATTTTTCCTTTAATTTCCAACCTGTACAGCCAGCCAACTTCTGAACGTCTCCATTTGGGTGTCCCAGGGACGCCTCAAAACTCAGCAGGCGACCACTAACACTCCTGGCTGGCGGGGCCTTCCCTGACCCGCCCTCTTCTTGGCCCGCCCTTCTTGCACTCAATGGCTCCCCTCGGTGACATTGCCCCGGGGCATCACACATTCAATCAATCTCTTGTTTATTCCATTTGTAAGTACCTACCAAATCCCTCCACTTCTCTTAGCCTCTGGCTCTGGGTGGAGCTGCATTTGGTGGGCTTTGGGTGGCCCTCTTTGGAGAGGAAGAGGCCGAAGACCATAAACTTAAGACAAACCAATCTAAGCAGGTTGATCAGAGGAGGCAAGGGAAGCCCAGCGCTGCTTAGTTCAGATCAACTGTTCCAGGGCTACTACAATGCCCTCCAAACTAGCTTTACATGTTAAGGTCCTGAGGCCCACGTTGTGGCATGGTAGGCTAAGCTTCTGCCTGCAGCGCCGGCATCCCATGTGGGTGCTGGTTCCTGTCCTGAATGCTCCTCCTCCAATCCAGCTCTCTGCTATGGCCTGGGAAAGCAGTAGAAGACGGCGCAAGTCCTTGGGCCCTTGTACCTACATGGGAGACCTGGAAGAAGCTCCTGGCTCCTGGCTCGGATCAGCACAGCTCCAGCCGTTGCAGTTATTTTGGAGTGAACCAGCGGATGGAAGAACTTTCTCTCTGTCTCCCCCTCTCTCTGTAACTTTACCTCTCAAATAAATAAATCTTAAAATATATGTATTTAAAGGTCCTGCCACTGGTGCCCGAATAGTTAAGTAAGTGAAAATCACCCAGGGTTGGGGCCGGCACTGTGGCATAGCAGGTAAAGCCGCCGCCTTCAGTGCTGGCATCCCATATGAGCACTGGTTTGAGCCCTGGCTGTTCCTCTTCTGATCCAGCTCTCTGCTGTGGCCTGGGAAGGCAGTGGAAGATGGCCCAAGTCCTTGGGCCCCTGCACCCACGTGGGAGACCTGGAGGAAGCTCCTGGCTCCTGGCTTCAGATCGGTGCAGCTCCAGCCGTTGCGGCCAATTTGGGAGTGAACCATCAGATGGAAAACCTCTCTCTCTTTCTGCCTCTCCTTCTCTCCCTGTGTAACTCTGACTTTCAAATAAATAAATAAATCTTTTTTAAAAAATCACTCAGGGTGCTAGTTTAAAACACAGTCTGAGGCCTCTTGGCAGTGTGGCTCTGGCACCTGCCTTTTAACAAGCATCCTAGTGATTTTTTTTAAAGATTTATTTATTTATTCAAAAGGCAGCGTTACTCAGAGGCAGAAGCAGATGGAAAGGTCTTCTACCTGCTGGTTCACTCCCCAAATGGCCATAATGTCCAGGAGCCAGGAGCTTCCTCCGGGTCCCCACATGGGTGCAGGGCCCCAAGGACTTGGGCCATCTTCTACTGCTTTCCCAGGCCTCAGCAGAGAGCTGGATTGGAAGTGGAGCAGCCAGGACTTGAACCGGTGCCCATATGGGATGCTGGCTTTACCCGCTACACCACAGCACCAAGGCAGTTACAAAGAAAGAGATGCTGCATCACTGGTTCACTCCCCCAAATGACCACAAGGCCGGGGCTGGGCCAAGCCAAAGCCAGGAACCAGGAGCTGCTTCTGGATCTCCTGTATGAGTGGCAGGGGCCCAAGTACTTGGGCTGTCCTCTGCTGCTTTCCCAGGCGCGTTATCAGGGAACTGGGTTGGAAGTGGAGCAGCTAGGACTCGAGCCAGTGCTGATACGGGTTGCTGGCCTTGCTGGTGCTACTTAACCTGCTGAGCCACGATGCCAGCCGCCCCCCGCCACCGCGGCCCCATGATTCTTAAGCATACTGAAGTTTGAAACAAACCTTTCTAAAATAGAACTGCCGGCACTCCCTGGTTCTGGGACAATCCTCTGCCTCACAGGATAAAGTCCAAATTTCTCAGGAGATCTAAAAAGCCCTTTGAGAGCTAATCTGTTTAACTCCCCTAGCCTCATTCCACCTCATTTCCTTCTTGAAGCCTCTGAGTTGATTACAATTTCTTGGGGTTCCCGAATGTGCTTGTTCTCCCTCAACTCCAAGGTTTTGTCCATTGCAGGTGCTGCAACACTTGTTGAATGATAGTGTGAAACTATCACAGTGTGTAAGTTCCCATGGCACTGGAGATGGGAGGAGCAGACACAGTCCCTGACTCCTGACTCCAATACCCCGTATTTGGGGTATTTGGGGTAGGGGTAAATCACAAGAAATGACAGAACGAAATCAGCAAATGCCAAACACCTGCCACAGATCAGGCATCGTGAGGTTTTACTAATGTTAGCTCATTTGCTACTTACTTAAACCTTTGACACTGGGCCTCAAAGGGGCTAGAAAGTAGTAGACCTGCTGTAATTCAAAGAAGAAATACACCAGCATTGTTCCAGGTAGTAAGACCCGGGAAGAGAGATGTCATCCTGTCCTTGAGGCTGTCCTAAATGCAGGTTTTCTGTTGCCACCACGTGCTTCCACAGCTTTGTGTCAGCCAGGTTGAGTCCGGCCACCGTTGTAGTGCAGTAGGTTAAGCTGCTGCTGGTGATGTTGGCATCTCCCATCACAGCACTGGTTCAAGTCTCTGCTGCTCTTTTCCCTATCCAGCTGCCTGCTAATGTACCTTGGAAAGCAATGGAAGATAGCACAAGTATTTGGGCTTCTGCCACCCACATGGGAATCCCGAATGGAGTTCGGGGCTGCTGGCTTCAACCTGGACCAGCCTCAGCCATTGTGGCCATTTGAAGTGTAAATCAACAGATGGAAAATCTCTCTGTCTCTTTGCCTTACAAATAAATACATTTTATTTCTTAAAAGAGAGGAGTGTCCTATGTTAAGCTTACTTTCAGTAATGTGTTGAGGTTGCCGATAGTCAAATGTTTGCTTTCATTGGTTTCTGGATGATGGATGAGCCTACAATATCCACTCCCCTCCCAAGTTGTTCTAAATAAAGCAGCACTTCATAGAAAAATCATATTCAAATGTGTCAGCAGTATATATATTGAAATATATAAACTGAAATTCTGTTCTGCTGGCCTCAGCCATCTACTAAAATCACACACTGAGAATCCTTTTCCAATTGTGAAAAGAAGAAATCCCCCAACATGCAGTTTCTCCCTCCCTCATTTTTTAGGGGTGGGGTAAGGGGCAGCTGTGTGTAGAAAAAGGATGCTTTTGAAAAAGAAAGTACAAGGAAAACACACAGGAAAGGTAACAGTGGCACTCATTAACCTGGTGATTATTATGTTTGGACTCTCGGTGCTAAATCCTTAATCCTCAGAAAACATCTATTATAATTATCACCACTTTACAGATGAGGAAAGTGAGAGAGAGAGTGGTTGGGCAACTTGGTCGCCCAGCTCGACATGGCAGAGCCAGTGTGGAACTCAGGCCTCTGACTCAGAGCCCAGTGCTTAATTTCTGAGAGGTGGCACAGAGATGACTGTGGAAGGATACAGAGAGAACACATGGAAAGGCAAAGGAAATCCTAGTCCAGGACCAGAGTACAAATTGTTCTGTCGCTTGCCTTTTCTGGCAGAAGGCAAGTTCCGTGAAAGCAGAGATCTGCCTTTCTTGTTCATGGTGTTTTTCCCAGCGTCTGCATGTTTCCTGGATCCTACTGGGTGAGTAAGGGAATGAATGAGGAAGGAATTGAGCAGTGAGTAGTTTTCATTTGTTCCTTATTTATTTGAAAGGCAGAGTTACAGAAAGAAAGAGGGGAGAAGAGCATGGAGAAGGGGAGGGGGAGAGAGAGAGATTGAAATACCTTTCATCTGATGATTCTCTCCCCAGATGGCCGGGGCTGGGCCAGGCCTAAGCCAGGAGACAGGAGATTCTTCCAGGTCTCCCGTGCGGACAAAGCACTTGGGCCATCTCCCACTGCTTTTCCAGGTGCATTAGCAGGGAACTGGATTGGAAATGGAGTAGCTGGTGCTCATATGGGAAACCAGTGTTGCAGGCAGCAGCTTAATCCAGTACGCCACAACACCAGCCCCATGAGTAGTTTTCACTATTAGGGCTTAACTGGAAACCTGGGCCAGAAAGGCCTACTTGCTCCAGGAACCTAATGAAATATCAATAATTGGTGTTAGAAGTAGAAAGTAAGAATGGGGTGAACAAGTTAGAATCTACTCCCCAAGGTCAGGTGCCAAAGAAAAATAACATCATTTCTTAGGTTTCTTTCTTTCTTTCTTTGAAAAGCAGAGCAACAGAGAGTCAAAGAGAAATATTTTCCATATGTTGATTCACTCCCCAAATGGTGGAAACACCCAAGCCTGGGTCATGCTGAAGCCAGAAGCAAAAAACTAAAGAACTCCATCCTTGGGCTGGTGCCGCGGCTCACTAGGTTAATCCTCCGCCTGTGGTGCCAGCACACCGGGTTCTAGTCCCGGTCGGGGCACCAGATTCTGTCCCGGTTGCCCCTCTTACAGGCCAGCTCTCTGATATGGCCCGGGAGTGCAGTGGAGGATGGACCAAGTCCTTGGGCCCTGCACCCACACTGGAGACCAGAAGCACCTGGCTCCTGCCTTTGGATTGGCGCGGTGTGTCGGCTGCCAGAGCGGCCATTGGGGAGTGAACCAACGGAAAAGGAAGGCCTTTCTCTCTCTCCTCTTTGTAACTCTACCTCTCAAATAAAATCTTAAAAAAAAAAAAAAAAAAAAAAAAAAGAAGAAGAAGAACTCCATCCTGGTCTCCCACATAGTAGCAGGGGCCCAAGTACTTGGGCCATAATCCACTGCCTTCCCGGGCACATTAGCAAGAAGTTGGATTGGAAGCGGAGTGGCTAGGACTCAAACTGGCACCCCCGTTATGGGATGCTGCTCTGGTAAGCTGTAGTTTAATCCACTGTGTGACAATGGCATCACCAACATCATTTCTAAAAGGGGCAGAAGAACAGAACCGCAGAGTCTGTTTAGAGCTTTAGACCCTTGCCAAAAACCCCGAGAAACACATAAGACATTTATGATGCAGATGGCTAAATGGTGCATGCTATATGCCACCAAATTTCCTTCCAGCGGTAACAGAGTTGAGAACTTGAACTGTCTTCATGAATGCTGCAGTAGTCAATACTGAATTCCTCAACACTGCACGACACCGGCAGCAAAACAATGATGTTGTAGAAACCTTCCAACTTAACACTTTGGGTCACGGCAAACCAGTATCAGCAGTTGATGCAAAAAATCTGGGATACGGGTCTTTAAATGTGTCAGGTTGTAAGGAAATATTGTGTCACTTCACAATGTCATACATTCAGTGAACACTGATACACACATCGAATAAAACGTTAAATTCCCTCACTATTGATATACATATTGCACACACATCTTAGAGAGTGATCATTTGTGGGCAGTATCATTACATCTTTTTTTTTTTTAATATTTATTTATTTACTTGAGAGGCAGAGTTGCAGACAGAGAGAGGAAGAGAAAGGGCTTCCATCCAGTGTTTCACTCCCCAAATGGCAATAATGGCCGGAGCCCTGGGCCAATCCGAAGCCAGGAGCTTCTTCCAGGTCTCCCATGTGGGTACAAAGGCCTAAGCACTTGGACCATATCTACTGCTTTCCCAGGCCATCAGCAGGGAGCTGGATCAGAAATGGAGCAGCTGGCAGTAGAACCGGCAACCATATGGGATGCCAGTGCTGCAGGTGGCGGCTTTACCCACTATGCCACACTGCCAGCCCTATCTTTCATCTTTGTAGTCTCAGCAAATAATAGAGATTTGCGAGCTGGAGGTCAGTCAATATTCATGGACTTGTGGAGGCAGTGCTAACTTGGTCATACTTTTCGTGAGAATACCCAAAACTGCCTTCCAGCTAGGGTTCCGAATGCCCGTCCGTCACACAGCCTCTGTGTGGAGATGGCGATGGCAGGTCCTCCTAGCCCGTTATGCTCCAACTCCGCTCTGTCCATGGCCGTAAACACTGGAACGAGGTCCAGTCACTTGAGGCTGTTTTGTAAAATGAACACAAACAAAATAAGCTAAGCTACATTTTGCAGCATTTTGCCCAATACAGATGTTATCCTTCCTCCCCACGCTTCTGCTGGGATTGGTTACTGTCACTCCAGCGTGGGGGAGACAGAGTTGGAAGGATGGTTCTCAAAGGGTGGTTCCTTGGATAAAGAGACTTTACTTGGGAAATCTTTCTCTTTTTTTTAAAGAATTTTATTTATTTTGGGGTCTGCATTGTGGTATAGTGGGTAAAACAGCCATCTGAGACATCACATCCCATATGGGCCCTGGTTCATGGCCTGGGAAAGGTAGCAGAGGATGGCCCAAGTGTTTGGGCCCTTGCCACCCACATGGGAGATCTGGAAGAAACTCCTGGCTCCTGGCTTCCACCTGGTCCAGCTCTGGCTGTTGGGTCCATCTGGAGAGTGAACCAGCAGATGGAGGACCTCTCTCTCTCTCTCTCCCCCTCTCTATAACTCTGCCTTTCAGATATTTATTTATTTTATTTTTCAGGGATTTAGGCCATTTTCCACTGCTTTCCAGGTGCATTAGCAGGGAACTGGATCAGAAGTGGAGCAACCAGGACTCAAACTGGCAGAGGGTTGACCTACTGTGCTTCAACGGGAGCCACCTGGTTCGGGAAATCTTTAGAAATGCAAATATGCGGCCGGCGCCGCGGCTCACTAGGCTAATCCTCCACCTAGCGGCGCCGGCACACCGGGTTCTAGTCCTGGTCGGGGCGCCGGATTCTGTCCCGGTTGCCCCTCTTCCAGGCCAGCCCTCTGCTGTGGCCAGGGAGTGCAGTGGAGGATGGCCCAGGTGCTTGGGCCCTGCACCCCATGGGAGACCAGGAAAAGCACCTGGCTCCTGGCTCCTGCCATCGGATCAGCGCGGTGCGCCGGCCGCAGCGCGCCGGCCGCGGCGGCCATTGGAGGGTGAACCAACGGCAAAGGAAGACCTTTCTCTCTGTCTCTCTCTCTCACTGTCCAGTCTGCATTGTAACACATAAGAAAGATACAGAACAATTTATTTATTTGTAGGCCTTGCGCAGATCAACTTGATTTAGAGCCTCTTCTCACGATTGATCTGT